ATGAGCAATATGCAATTGTATAGATATGATTTATGTAAATAAAATAAATTATTATATAAAATATTTATGCTAATAAACATTATATGTTTTTTACCTTAATTATTTCTTACGAATATTTTCTTTCAAAGTATACAAATTCTTTTTATAATATATAAATGTATTTGTTGAAAATTAAATTATACAATGTAGATTGATTAATATTCAAATTTGAGAATATTGTGCTGCTACTATTGGTTAACTGTCAACTAATCATGAAAGAGATTCATATAAAAAACAAAATGTTTATAAAAAATTTATTAAAAATATAATACAAAGAAAATGTGATAAATAATAGATTAAAAAATATTTATAGCAATCTTCTTCAAATTTAAATATGTTTGCTATACCAAATTTTAGTTCTCAACCAAAATCAAATTCAGTGAATATTACAGATTTGTAAATAGAAACAAAAATAGAAAATTAAAGGTAAATAAAAATCAAATTTCATAAGTATGATGATTAAAATAAATTTGCTAAATAAAAATGTTATTATATTATAATTTTAGCAAATAAAAAATCATTTGCTGGAGTGTTGTTTGGACATAACCTCTAATTACTATGAGAGACAATGTCCGCAAGTAAATATAACCTCGCAACAATAAAAATCGAGTATAAATAATTAATTTTGGGACTAATTTTAATTAAAAAAAGGATCATTAATTATAAACAAAATAGTAAAATGAGAAAATATTATCAAGCTACGTTAGTTGTAGTGGCCGTTGTAAGTTTAGTATCACTATTGTTCTATAGACACGAATATAATAGATTAAGATACGTTCTAGAAGTTTTTAATTATTTTGGTAATCCAAATCAAAAAGCTATTAGCACAAATTGCATAAACAATAATGTATCGTTTATAGAACATAATATAAAATTAGATGAACCTTCTTCGTCGTGGCAAAGGTTGAACGATGATTTATATGTGTATTCTGCATACAATTTAGGAAATAACAAAGTTCATGCAATAAGTTTTAGTAAAAGAAGTGCTGTATCTAATTTACAATGTATTATATATTTTGAGCACGAAACAAAACCATTTGTCGGTAATTATAAGTATATTGTAATCAATAGCACTCCATATTTTGAAAATGAAGGAGAAAAAGCAGAATACAATGGTTATTATTTAATTTGTGCATATAAGGAAAACAAATTACCCGTTGGAGTATCGTTTTTAACAGAATTTGATAAAGATAGTACCAATGTTCCTATCTTCTCCGTTGCGACGCAACCACGATATTTAAATGGCAATAGTATAACAGTCTGCATAATACCACCATTGTTAAAACCTATGCATGAAATTGATATGATCACTTTTATAAGTTTTCACGAATTAATAGGCGTTAATAATTTCATAGCGTATGATTTTGGTATCGTTAATACGTTGAATAATCGTTTTAAGGAATTATCTGCAATATATATTCCCCAATCAAATTTTACATACACAACAGTACCATGGAATTTTCCTTTCAGTAGACTCGATACTAATATTATGAAAGATATTATAGAAGCTGATTGTTTGCATCGTACGTACAATAAAATGATGTATATTTCTATTTTATCCTGGCAAGAATATATAGCATTAAATTACCATCGTTCACTTGTAGATTTATTAGCAGATTACAGTGCATCCAAATTGTTAGCAGATCGTTACAAATTAAATATTTTGACTTTTTGTACAAAAGAATTAGATAATAATCCATCCGCAAACTTTACATTAATCATGTATAGAAAACTACAATTTGATACAGATGTTACGGGTCATTATCCTATTTTCATATCAAAACCGCACGAAGTATTATCCAAAAATAATGTTTATACTCAAAAAATGGCTAAAGATTTGATTCTTGTACATAATTACAAAATTTGTAACGACGTTAAAACGATTCAAAAAGTTAACGTCTTTAATACTTCCATCCCAAGATTTTCTAAGGATATAAGAAATTCGCCAATTTTTACAAGACTTATTAGCCATTAGATGAACAACTGAGTAAAATTTAAACAATATTTTTTTATCTGCATGTGTTTTTGTTACTTTATCAATTTTATTTTTATTTTTTTTTTATTAGACTCGTATCAACTCTTTTGTCATTAAAAATGTACATTTAATTATTAAATAATCTTTCTAGTTACAAATGTTCTTAATAGTATTTTTAGGTATCTTGATATTGCTATACGAATTATGAACATCTGGTATAAAAAGTATGTATTCATTTAAACAATTACAATTTATAATCGAACAAATATCTTATAACGTAAATTTTGTTACAATGTAGATCCAATTGAAGTGTAAAGCATGTTATAAATATGTACCATAATTGTATAAAGTTTGACGTTTATAAATATATGTTTATAAGAAGATAAATTTTACGCAAATTTATATTTCTTATTTTAATTGGACACTGTATATACGTATGTTATAATGAATGCTTCTTACAATTCCTTTTTCTTTGTTAATTTTTTGTTATATAAAACTATGTATAATACGGCATGAAATTTCTATGGTATATTAAATTATTTTATTATAATGATATCTTTATAATAACTTTATAATGATATCATGTTTTAGAAGCAAGATCAATTTACTTCACTATTTTTTATAAATTAATATATGAAGAAATGTTTGTTTTTATTATTTTGGTGAATTTTTTCATTAATATATTTTTTTTTCCCATCTAGTTATTATTACATATTCTGAATTTGATTAACTAGAATCATAAGAAAGCTTATTTTAGTCGTTGCATTATAGTTGCATTTTTTAAACCTGTTTCTTCTATTGTTTTATCCTCCGCTAATTCCTTAGTTGGATACATAGTTAATAAACTGAAGTCTCTTATGGCATATTGAGGTCTCATACTGAAAAAATGGAATAGTAAAAGAAAATATGTTTTTTTTTTAAATAGAACTGCAAAATTTAAATATATATTAAATATTAAATATAAAATGCTCTATCAGTCATATATATGTAACATTAAAGGATACGTTGTTATATATCTTCTGAGGTCACTTATGGTATGAGATAAATTAAATTGCGCTCGTACACTGCTCCCATCGGCAAGTCGAATTTGTATTGTAGTGACTGGTTTAGTTGCGTCTAAATTTAATTGTTTTTTTGCTTGAGATTCGTTAGCTGCTTGATCAGCTGGGTCTGTTGGAATTGTCATACCAACAGTAGCTGGAGATGGACTGTAAACATTTAATGTAACATAGATTTTATTGTACTATTAAATAATAGTGCTACATTAATTATTAAAAGAAATGTATGATACCTTCCCAACATATGTCCTTTCCCAGTAAAAGCTTTAACCTTAGTTTTGGGAGGAACATATTCTTCGTGACGATGATCCTCCATGTCTAATCGTAATTCTGCGTCTTGAACTTCTTGTCGAATTTCTGCAGGAATTTCTCCTCGTTTTATAGCAGCTAAAAATTCTCTATTTCCTGGATCACTGTATGGTCGAATTTCATGATCGTTTATAGTAAAACCATCGCGCCATAATTTCAAAGTAATAAGACCAGCATTAGATTGTTGATTGGACTGTGCTCCTGATACAACTGAAAATACATTAATTAATATTTTATTAATAATGGAAGAGATAAAATATTATTTGTGTATACCTTCTGTATCTGAACTAGTTTGTCCTAATTTATAACCGGTACCACTGAACGTATTTGGTCTTTGTTGTCCACTAGTTCTAGGTTCTATAGAAATAGATTGTTCTTGACACGATTTAAACATATCGCTTATGATATCATTCTTTTTTCCTGGACCAAGTACCTGCTGACCACTGTGTTCAGATCCACCAGCATAGAAGGCTTGTCCTTCTTCTTCTTCCGAACTACTATCCTTATTTCGCAAATCGCTTATCGTACCAAATTTAGGTTTTGCTTTTGATTTATTTTTATTTCCTGCATTTTGATCCATTGAGTCATTTTTTTTTTGTTTTGCTGTACTTTTAGAATTATCTCCTATATTATCGTCTTGTAATCCAAGTGCGACGTATTCATTTACCAATGAAGGAGGTTCATCAGTTTCAAAGAAGCTTGCAAGTGCAACCTGTAATCATATTAAACAATATTACACAATTCTTTATTTAACTATTGCTGTAAACTAAAGAATCATATTACATATATTTAAATATTAATAAAAGTATCTTTATAGAATCATTTTCTTAATATAATTAATAATAATTGTCAATTAAAAATAATAAAGAATAAACATCTATAAAATTACTTCTTTTCATAATTGATTCTATGAATTGAAATAATACTGAAGGTAAAAAAATTGAAGGTTATATGAAATTATAGTAGATACATTTGCGACATAATATGACATATTATAATGAATTATAAATAATATAAGATTATAAATATAAAAAAAAATGTGCAATCTCACTTCTAACTGCCAAGCGGATGACTCAAGGTAAAATTGTGCTCTTTCTGAATCAACACCAGTTACATCTGTAAATTGCGAAAGCAACTCATCGCGGTTCGACATGATATCCAATTATTAAATCACTAACACAATCTATTAATGCTTTGTTTTATTTCGATCGATGTATCTTTGTTTTATTCTGTTCTATGAACTCTTAAACCCAACAGAATTTCTCTCTCAACCTTAAACTGCTACTGTCATTCCTTCATCAAGGAATGGCGAACCGGATGTTACCATGTGAACCAAATCCGCGAAATATTTGAAATTTCAACAAACTGTCTTTTATCACGTCACATACTTTAACATTGTTTGTAATAACGTTTTATTTATTAATTATAAACAATTTTTAATTATATAGTTTTTTTTTAAATCATTTATTTTTATATATATTATAATTTTATATTTGTTTATATTTTATATATAATTTTTATATGTAAACTTTTTTATAGAACACTCGTTTTTTAATTTCTATATGTTTTTAGATAATTTATGTGTTTTTATATATTTTATATAATTTATAATTAATTTATATTTATATTAAAACTTATTTGACATTTAATGATACAATGCAGTACCACATCTTATCCAATGTGCAACGCATATATTTGTTTTTAGAGGTACTGTCATTAGATGCATATGCAACCTTTGTAATTGTTTTGAACGCGTAAGATTTGTATTTAATTTGTTTATATTATTTTCAATGCAAATAGTGTATACAGGACATTTATAAATGTTTTCTAATATTGCTTCTTGTGTGATAAATTTAAGACACATGATAGGCATGTTATAACGATATATACCAGGTATGCTGTTTATTAATATCTTTTCTTGCGAATCCCATTGCGCACCAATTAAATATAATCCATAAATGTAATATTGATCATTAAATTTATCTTTTATTTCAGATGGCTCATAGATTGTCAATATTTCAAAATCTATATAAATATTTTCAATAGATAAATTATGTTTTTGAGAAAACATAAGTTTTGATATGGAAAGAAACATTTTGCAATATGTCAATGCGCCAAAATTAATCAAATAAGGATGCTCATTTTCAATCCAATCTTTGATCAATTTTCTTTTGTTTATTAAATAATTAATGAATTCGGAAAGGTTTACAACTTCCATATTATTGGATACTTTTTTCCAAATATATGGAATTTGACAATTGTATATTAATTTCCATAATTCTTCTAGATAATTGTTTAATATTATGTCACCGTTAAACGCTGATCTCAAATCTTTCAATGTTCCTTTTATTTCAATTAATGTTTTATTAATTAATTCTATTTCATATATTAAAACAATGTTTAACGGATTTGAAAATGTAGAATGATAAATATTTTCTACGTTTTCAATGATAGATATATTTGATATTTCAGATTCAATGTTATCGATTATAATTAGTTCATCCACTTCAGTAGATTCATTGATCTTAGATGAAATTATAGAGTTCATTAAAGACATATATGTAAGAAATTCATTTGTTTCTTTAGCATCTCTGATAGCGAGAGCATTTTCATCTGATCCGAAAATTTTAGATGGATGATTTATCGACATATTTTTAATATGTTTCATTATCTCATTGTATTCACATTTTCGAGGCAATAGATATTTCAAATTATTTGAAAAGAAGTGCTGGGAATTATTTGTTATATTATCATCGCAATAATAACTTAATAAATGATTCAAACATCTTTGATCAAATTTATTCATGATCTTACCACCATAATTACATTCACCAATAAAATATGATATAGCTTCTATTGATACATTTTCATGGTTGTTTATTAAATCTTGTAATAGGAGAATGGATGTTTCGAAATCGGAATAATCAAAATCGTATGGAATATTCCAAGCTTGCATTCCAAAGTTATTTTTTTCTTTAACAACTATATGAAAGAAGCATAATTGGTAAAGAAACTTTATAAATATTTTTTCTTTTCCAGGACAGCAGTCAAAAATATCTTTATTTTTTATGAACTTCAATTGAAAGGATCTCAATAAATTTTTTTTGATATTGTTTGTATCATCTAACGTTATCTTTACACAGTTTTGCAAAATACTTATAGGAAATTCATTAATGGAATAACTAGAGAGCCATAATCGAAAAGTTAAAGATGTATTTGATGCATTCAAATTTTCACAAATCTTTTCTAATTGAAATAACCATGGAACAGCGAGATGACAATTCTGAAGGAATACCCATCCACCGTCTTCTTGGGCTTTTTTAATAAGAACTTCAGCTTTCTTTTGTTGTGTATCTTCCATAGAAAGAGATATGTATTTTGAAGAATAGCCGATGGTACTCGCGTAAGCGGAAAGAAAAGAAAGAGGTGAAGAGTAACTTGGTAAAATAAATAAAAGTGGACGAAGGCAACTGGATTCTGCATATGATTGAGACATTATATATTGAGACGAGTAATTAAACATTTTTCCTAAATAATTTTCAACGAAATATATGATATAATAAATAATCTTATCTGGCTTAGCAATTTTAGCTAATATTAATTTTTGATATGGCCCTAACTTTTTATCCCACGGATCTGGCAACGTTAAAGTTTCTACGAGATCCGAATTCCAATATATTTTCCAACTTACGTCGTTAGAAGAAATGTCCTGTGCGAGACCATGAAAATTAGGTAAGTTATCATTGATATAACAAATTTTATTCCATATCTTCATTGGCAACCAAATTGGTGCTTGAAACACATTTGAAATATTAAAATATTCTATGTCTATGAGAGAAAAGAAATGAATTTCTTTTTCTGTTGCTTGTTTATTGTCTAATAGAATTTTAGAACATAGTAAAAATGAATAAACAAGCTTATGTCTTTCGAATAAAGATCTGCAAACGCTCGAATGAAGATTTTGAGTGAAAGAATACTTTAATAATTTTAATCGTTTCTCGAGAGAAATATTTTTGTTCGATCCTTGAATGGAACGTGTGAATAATTGGATAAACCATGAGAACGAAAAGCGATACATATGATCTAAATTTGATAATGCGTTAAGTGTTGTAAATAATCCAGCACAAAATTTAGTATATTGTGTGTAAGTACTTCGAACGATATTTATTTCGTTCTTCATAATTTCTGCTTGTTCCTGTTTTTTAATTATATTCAAAGAAAGAGTCTTAGAAGAGTCCAATATCATGATAGCTTTTTCATCTTCTATAATATTTGTACTGGTAGACGATAACGTACTTAAAATTTTATCTTCTTGCAATTTAAGAGCTTCCTTGTTAATAGTATCTTGTATCCAAATATTTTCAAATTGTTCTTGAAGTTCTAATTTTTCTTTTCTAATAATTATATTTAAGAGTTTATCTTGAAGAGCTTCGCAAGGAAGTGAAAAATCTATTACAATAAGTTTGCTATATACGTGGGGTAGATAATGTGGATTAGATAATCTTGTTGTAACGTACAATCTAAAATTGAGAGAATATTTGGTAATAATTCGACCAATTTTTAAATACCAATCGTCTCCAATTTTATAAATATTTTTTAACAACACTGAATCTATAGCAACTTCAAGTTCTTCTCCAATATTTTCTAATAAAATAGGATTACCGTGTTCAATATTATATCGTATGATCGACATGTAGTCGGAATCTGTAAATTTGACTACTTTAAGACCATTCTTTTTCTCTATTTCTTTGATCCAATTATTAGCTTGGTTTTGAGAATCAATGAACAATGGCCATAGTTTAGAATTTTCCATAATAATAGCATTCTCTGTGGAAAATCTGTTTTTAGATAAACCAGAGAGGTACCACGAACTTATTTCTAATTCCACTCCGAGTATATTAACAAAGTCATAAGATTTTGAATATGGCAAGTTTAACATTTGTATAAGATTGATCCACTTTTTTATCATTTTATCACGACATTTGATGTTATACGGAGCCATGTAAGCTATTATTCCAGATGATAGTATCATATCTCCAGCTAAATTATCATAATTTAATTGAAGATTGTCTGCTAATTGTAACCAACGTTCTTTTTCGCTTCCTAGGCTTGCAATCAACCTTTCTGCTTTCTGTAATTTTATTGTACAGTTACTCACTTCTTCCTCTAATTGTAATTTCTTCTGCAAAGTATCTTGAAGATTACTGTTAAGTGTAGCTAATTTGATATTTAAATTAGAAAGAGTTTGACGTTTCTCATTTAAAAATGCTTCTGCTTCATCGCACTCTTTCTGAGCTGCTGCTAGTTTTTCTTTTTTTGGAGCTACCACTTTAGCAATTTCATTATAAGATACCATTGCTCTTACCCATTTACAAAGACCTTCTGCGGCACTTGATGCTTTGGCAACAATATGAGGTACAAAATTTTTATCTGTCATATAAACATTTTTAATTATTTGTATTACTGCAGATGGTATATTATCTTTATTATAGTCTTTCAAATTTTGTAAGAAATTCATATCCCCTAAAATACGTTTACTTGGACCCCAATAATCCGTTATTTTTTTTCCACTAACAGAATCAACAGTACGATCTGGTGTTACACCTAACATAACGCAAACTGCAGCCATCACTAACTTAACGGTGTCAGGAGGATTTTTCATAGCTTTGACTAAAGTAATATCAGTAGGTTTTAATGTATTTAAAGCTACAACAGCATCTTCAAGAATAGGAATAGCTACAGCAAGGTCAGCTTCACATTCAGATTTCAATGCTCCAGCAATCTCTGCTTTTTTATTCGCAATACCTTCTTCTTTTTTAATAAGAATCGTAGCCTTCTCTACAGTTAAATTTTCATGTTTAACTTCTTTCATTGTCTTTATAGTTCTTTGTGCAGACAGTTCTAATTCAGGTTTTAGAATCGTTAACGTTGTACTCATTTTTTCAACTTGTTGCGCTGCTATTTCAAGTTGTTCCAAGCCCATCATATATCTGTTTCTAGTAGTAATAATTTGTTCTTGTTTCTTGGTCATTAAATGTTTATATAATTTTGTTGTGTGTAAAAAAGCTGAGTTTGTAACGTAAGTTGGTATTCCATTATCCTTCAAATACATTAAACTATTTATTTTTGCATCATTATGAAATTGAATGCAAGCTTTTATTACACTATCTTTTATGTTCCCTGGAATATCTATAATTTCTATATGAATTTTAGCTATTTCAACAAGAGCATCTTCTGGCCATGTATCATAATAATTGATTGTACAGTATTTGATTAAATTAGGATATAAATAAAAATATTTTCTCATTGTATTATTGATCGGACTGAAGCCAAGTACAAAATGCAAATTATTTTTACATTGTTCTATAAAGTAATCCATTACAGCAGAAATATTTATTTCTGCATTTGAATCTCCTTTTTGAGCATGTATACGCATCGTTGCTATAATACTAAGTTTTTCTTCGGTTGAAAATAAATCTGGTATTTCTCCGGTATTTAATAAACTATTAACATCTTGAAGAAATGTGTTTTTCATTTGTCTCTCTGTGAGATAGAATGTACAATTTTGTTGAGATTCTCCGCAAGTACGTAATATCTTTTTTAAATCATCTTTCCAAATATTAAAATTATAATATGAGTCCATAGTAGGTTCAAAGAAATTTTGCTCTTGAATATAAGCAGCAAGTTTAGTTATGGATTTTTTACCAGATCTAATGGTTGAAATAATAATTGCATTTCCACTGGGCATTGCCAATATTCTACAAATTTCTACTAAATATATCAACATTTGTTGTGTTATTACAATATCGATCTTTTCGTTATTAATATTATTATAATTATTCATATAAGATACAATAGCATCTTTCAATATTTCTAAAGAATTGATTTCTTCATATTTTTTATACTTCAATGAAGTTTCATCCAATTCTATAAAATTACCGAATAGAAGATATTTAAAACTATCCTTAGTAATTTTATTATCCTCAAATTTTGGTAAGTGATCGAAAGCAGACTCGAATGAGTCTTTGAAATATTTTTTCACTGCTTCTTTTATACTTTGATATAAGATTTCTTTATCGTCGTTATGTGAAATTCGATCACCGAATACACGCAGCGTTTCGTGTACCCACAAACGAAGGAATACAATTTTGGTATCAACTGATTCTTTTTGGATAAGACTACAACCGCTTATAACTTTGTATATGTCTCTGATATTAAATAGATACTGTACTTTGGTAGGTATCGGACGCAAGACATTTAATATTGAATTGTAAACATCGATTGTAGCATTTGTTATACTTGTTACGTAATTTAATACGTCTGTACTAAAAAGATTATTTTTTAAATTAGTTAAAAGCATATTAGAGAATATTTTATATATGTTATCCATCGTAAGTTCAGGAAACGTGTAAACATTAAAATGTCTCATGAATCTAGGACAAATATTATGCTTTTTATAACCAGTAGTTATTGTTAATAAAAAGCTAATATTTGTAACAAAGATTTTATCAAATATCTTTGTGTCATACCAATATCCGTTATTAAAATATTGTCTTATTAATTCTAGCACTGAACTAGAATTGATATTAGTGTCGGTATTTAGATTAAAATCATCAATCAAGTTTATACAACATTTATCTTCGGGTAAGCCATAACATCTTTTTTTGATTCTACTCAAGTACGACAAAAACAAATTCTTTGCTTTCTCTGCAGTTACAAGAGAAGAATAATTAAAAGTATTTGTTAAATATTTATGCTTTGATAATTTATATTTCAACAAGTTTTGTAAAAGAACAGTTTTACCTGTTGTACCATTACTGCAAATAATAAAAGCTTTGCGATATTTGATATGTGTAAGAAATAAACGACCGTACTTGATAGAATTAAGAGTTGGAACATATTTTTGATCGAAGTTACACATATCTGTTATCGTTTCAGTTTTCAATAAATCATTATAATGTTTCCAGTTTCCAACACCTTTAAAAATATACAAATTATCTTGTATCAATCCTTCAGTAGGCAAAGTAATATCATAATGTTTAATATCTTCTGGACATGGATATTCACTGTGAGAATTATTCCAAAGCGCTAAACAAAATTCATTAAATTTAACTTGGAAATCTGTGGATGAATTTCCACCAACAACCCACACTAAAGATAACATTAAAGCTGCTTGCGACCATATAACAAAATGATCTACATTTTCATTTCTTTCTAGCTGTTCGTTACAAGCTTCTGTTAAATATATTTCAAATAAACTTAACGTTGATCTCACAAGATGTAATTCTCCTACAGTAATTGTCATCAAGCAATTCAAACGTACAAATTGAAGACAAGCGTCTAAAGACCAACTTAATAATGAATACATAATTTTCTCATATTTGTTATACATTTGATTTTGTTTAATATGAGATAATATGTACGGTTTCCATCCGATAGATTGTGATTCAATATAAATAATACCACAGTGTGATATAATAACAGGAGAAACGTTAGATAAATCCATAGTTTCAAATATTACAGACATCGTTTGTGTCATCGAAATCCTTTCTCCAGAAATTAAATGAAGGAATTTATTGCTATCTATTACTGTATACAAATTTTCAACCCATATATCACTCAAAGATCCATCAAATATCAACCACTTCTTATCTGATGAATTATTTGCTGCAAAAGTACGAAATATTTTAGTACATAAACCATCCTCCCATAAATTCAATTCTTTTTTGTATTGACCAAATAATTGATTGCTATTGATAATTCCTGGATTTATAATTTCTAATGTAATATTTGCACCGTTATCATCTTTCCATTTATGCAGTAATGTAAAAGTATCAGCCAGAACATGTAACATTTCTGTTTTTCCAGTAAGAGGACCACCAACAAGTATGAGAGCATGTTGAACATGCATTAATTCAAACATTTGTAAACTTTTTAGTTTCAATATTTCATGAAAATCCAATGATCTTGATTCACATGCATTTTCTAGTGCCATTAATATTTTATTATAATTCATAGATGGTAATTTAATATAAGGAAATATACTATGTATTATATTCTGAAATATTATTATATCTTGGCTAGAAAATGTTGGTAAAATTACATCGATTACCGAACGAAGTAATAAAATATTTTCATCTTCAGTTTGAAAATGAATTTTTAACATCCTTGCAGTTTTAATAACTGTTTTAACTGAAGACAAATCAAATTTATAATGCGGTCTATCTAATAATTGATCACATAACAATTTATAGATTAAAACCAATTTAGTTGCAAGTTCTTTTCCATTAGAAAAACCAGATGCTAAGAGTTCTATTTCTATTATTTGCTTGAGGTCTGGTTTTACCATAGAAATAGAGCGAAAAAGTATTTTCAAATTATCCGGTAATTCGTAATATTTGTTGCATTGGACATTCATAATAATGCAAATGTTTCCATTTGGATTTAAATTTAATTTGGTTCCTTCGAACATAACTGATTTTAAATTTGTCGATATTACTTGATGAATATTCACGATTGTTTGCGTAACTGCAGATAGTACAGTTAATTCTAATTTATCTAAATTTTTCAAGCAAACCCATGTCCCGCAAGAAATAAGTCCTTTCAGTACATTCAGTATCGATTTATAAGTAAATCTTTCATTCGTGTTTAATATGTAATAAGGCATTGCAAGAGAATTGATTAAATATTTAATAGTTTCCATTTTCCCAGTGGCTACAGATCCAATAATAGCTCCGAATAAATGATAGTTGTAAGCTTCCATCAAGGTACGAAGACATCTATCAGTTAATGGTGTATTCACTAAATATTGTTCATAATAATTGTATTCGTAGCCATAATTTATTGTAGTATTGTATAATGAAATTTTAATTTCATTTTCAATCCAATAATATCGCATTTGTACCAACCAGTTAAAATCTGAAGAAGAACAAATATTTTTTTCTAGCAACAATCTTATAATTTCTTCGTGATTAGCTGTTATTATTATTAATGACATTAACAGTTTTTTTTCTTCATGCATTATATTACTTTTCATTCGATCAGCCAAGCTCGCCAATAATTCAGAATATTTCTTGTTAATTGTTTTTAGTAATAACAAATTAAAAGGTGAATAACAACTTTGGACCAGACTGGTCCAATAAATGCGAGAAATACAAATGATTACCATACTCGGTACATTTGTTATCCAATCGCATAAATCCTTTTCTTCAAAATGTAAATAACATTGTTGCAAATTCTCATAAATTGTATTTTTTAATACTTTTTGTAAAGTAGATAACCATTTTTCATCACCGCTAAGTATTGTAATATTTGTATTAAGTTGAAGAGTCTCATTACAGTCTCCTAAAATGGAATAAATATCACAGTTTGTTTTATCGAATTGTAGTTTGTTGATACCAGGAAAACACTTCTGTAAACATAACTGCAATTTATTTATATCATCCAACTCAAATAATATATTCTGAATTTCTATATCTGATAGAAAAAAGAATCTTTCAAAATCTAATCTTTTATTATCAATATAATTCTGAACTCTTTTCATTATCTGATCCATTTTAATATTCGAATCTTGCAAATCATTTAATATATCATAATCATTCTGAAAAGTGTGAAAATTAGGATTTTCTGATATTTTTTTCTTAATATTTTCCAATATTTTGTTTACGTCTCTGTACAAAGAAGTTTCTTGGGATAAATAATTTTCTGTTGCTTGGCAATAAAATATCGAACTTATAGAAATCTTATATTTCTGTATATCAAACCAAAGTATTATTATCTCTTGAATCTTTTTAAGAGAAATATGAAAATCTTTAAGAGACGTAGATATCGATTCAATAAAATGAGAAGCTCTCATTTCTTCTATTTTAAGAAAATGATCTTCTAGAAGACTTTCTATATCATCTTGGTTTTTAAATACAAATAATTTCGTTTCATTACTGTAAATAATTTCAAATGAAATCCTATACCACATTTGCTGCATTTCTGCTAGTTGTTGATGTAAACAAAGTTCTTTGGTAGCCTTTGTACTAATAATTTCATATTTCTCTATATTCTCTATTAAATTAAAATTAATAATTTTCTGAAGTGTTGTACCAGCATGTGGAGTAAGATCAAATTGTGATATAATAGACATTTCTTTCCAATGTTGTTGTTTGAGCGCAGGATTGCATATGCAAATAACAAGGGGTAAATATATTTTAAATTGTTGAATATCGTTGATCGCTTGCCAGGATAATTTCAAAGGAGCAGGTTGTTGCATTGGATCGGGATCATCTGTTATTCCAGAAAACTTAAACGATTTATTAGACGTAACATCCATTTTAATTCGTGACTTGAATTGTTTATTCATCTCCATGATTTTTGTTAAATAATCTAAAGTCTTTTCCTTAATCACATCAGGATTCAAATATTCAAAAGGTCCATTCAACCATATAGAATTATCTCTCTGCCATTGACGAATGATATTAACAAGAGAATAAAATGGATAAACAATCTCTTTTAATTCGATAACTCTTGGAAATTCAGTTTCTGGGAATTTAAAAAATGATTCTTCTGCGTTAATCGTAATAACTTGATCCTCTATTTCTTTGACTTTTTTAATAAGATCGTCGTAATGTTCAGAATATTCTTGAACTTTCCTAATATCATCCATGTTATCTAAAATAACAAGATATGGAAACAGATCATCTACTTGAACGTTTAAAGTACTTATCCGTTTCTGGAGGTCATCTTCAAAATCATTTTTAATAGCTTCACACATAATATTGCTTTGTGCAAATATCGGTTGTATTAAATTCAACCATAAAATAGTATCTCCATTTATTTTCATATGCTTATACGTTAACGTAGTTATTTCTAAAAGTACACTTAACATTTCTACAGATTTATGTATCCTTTCTTCCAATTCTTTCACCAATACTTTAGAATCATGCATCATATAGTCGATTAATTTAGTTAATCTCTTTGCATCTTTAGGTACATTTAAAGCCTTCATTTTAAGATTTTCAAATTCGGAACAAATAAGTTGATTATATGTAAGATGATAATTCACCAATTCCTTCGTAAGCATATCAATTATTTCAGAAGAATATTCAATTAATGCTTCTTTTGCAGGTTCTTGATTCAGTTGACCTACGTCATAATACACGTTTTTTACCATCGATTTTGCGATATCATGATACATGTTATATTTTTTTATTTCACCGAGATAGACATCAAAATCAAGTTTCTGTGAAATTAACAATCGAATCTTGTCTTTTACATTTGTACCATCGCATATGATACCAAATTGATTAACAATGATATTAAGATCATTCATTATCGGCCTAAGCATATCTTCCAATCTCATCTGCAATTTATCATAAGAACTTTGAATAAACCATTGTGGTAACTTGATTTTAATGTATTCATAACTTGTATTTATTTTAAAACATTTCTCGAATGGAGTCAACTCTTGAGCAATATTGTCGATATTGGAAAGAATATTGTTGAATGCATCAAACAAATCTTTCAAATTAGGTTTCAAAGTAATCCTATTGTTTTGGTATACAAGCTTTATTTCAATTTGCGGTCAGCTGTATTTACTCTCCATAAAATTAATTATATTATCTATCGATTTAATCATTATTAATATAATCTGTTGCGTGAATACATTAGTTACGCACTGTATAAAATGTATCAAATACTTCATAGGCATATTTTTTAATGTTTTTGCATTCGCTATAGCTTCATAAGTTTCGTTGTAAAAATTACTCGTTATAAACAAAGAATTCCTGTTAATATCCTTATTACAAATACTTTGCAATTGAAATAAAGTTATTTGACAGCGTTGATATTTTTTAAGATCACAAATAACATTAGGAAGTCTCAACTGTGCTCTTTTAATAATATTCCTAATTATTTCATGAGAAAGAAAATATCTTTTTATAAGAAAATTACGACTCCTTTCAAACTTTACATTAAATAATTTAAAATTGTCAAAAGGAGTTGTCAATTTTTTGCAATTATCCTTTTTAAAGTACACAACATTTTTAATACCTAAACTTTCTTTTTCCTTCATATGTATAATCTCAATTTCATGAAAAATACGATTTATCAATTTAGAATATTTTTTTCTATGTTTTTTAGGTATCAAAATTAATATATTATTTTTTAATTCTTTAGGAAAATGATCCATTGTTTAAAAAACAGTAATAGCACTCACAAATACAATAAAATATAGTTGTTTGTTACCATAGATACTCCTCCTCCTCCACCGCCAAAATCCCCTCCTCCTCCTCCTCATCATCATTATTCATCATCTAACCTCAAAATTCTATTTTACATTGTTACAATTAATTTCATGATCAAACAATAGAAATTAAATATAATTGATAAATGAAGATTAGTTTGTTATAGTTTTTCAATTTTATTACATTTTCACTTATTTGTAATTTAGAATGAAGAAAAATATTGCTAAATAAAGTCACCATGTTGTGACGTTATATGAAAGCTGCGCAAATTTATTGAAAACATACTGCATATCTATTGAGATATATATATGTATGCATCTGCGGTTACTTAGTATGCATGTGTATATAAAGATGCGTGTATGTGTGTGATATTAACAAGTGGCTGTTGCAAGCTCAGTTAGTATGCGCGACGCAAATCGTTTGAAGAGCCTAACAAAGTTCATAAACGTGCTTTAAAAAGCACGTTAATTTATTGCAAAAATAATGTAACGTATAGATAATATTATTTCAAGGTAATTTTAATGATCATTGATATTTTACTTTTTTATCTTGATAACGTTCTTAATACATTTACGTTGAACGTAATTTGTGATATGATTTAATCATTTTTTCCTATTTAATTTTTATTCATTAATAATAAATTTTGCGTACTACTCATGCTGCTTAAGAGATATGGACCCAGGTACAATTTAATACAATTAGATCTTCTGGACGTAATAAGATATTGTTGATTGATAGTTTGTATCATAATTATTACAATTATCTTCATGTTATATCATAATAATCAATGACGAAATGGTTAATAATTAATTTATGAATTTCAAAAGAATTGTATGTTTTTAGAGAGTATAGGAAAAGAAACAATTGTAAAAGTAACCGATTGGTTACGCGGAATGTGGGAAATGAGACGTCGTAATAGCCCGGTTCAACAATGGGTTGACTCAATACCCTTGCCTTTAAAATCAAATCTACCTGTTACGATAGACGTTAAGCCTAGCACTTCTGCAACACCAACGCCAGCTAAAGACATTCCACTTTTGAAAGGCAATTATTCAAAGATTCCAACAATGACTGTATCAGCTCCTATCAACGTTCCTAGCACACCAGCAATCAATAATATGTGTAGAATACCTAGGTAAATATTTAAACAATTGTTTTGAGAACGTATTTAAAGCATGAAACTTTCCAATAAAAATTTTTGTTGTTCAAGTTTGCATAGATATAAAAATGATATATTTGTATTATAGTTCTCTTCCTCATGCTAGACTTGCACGAGATCAGAGTTTTCAATCGGACAGTAGCCATTGCAGTAGTATAGAAAGTTTGTTAGAGCTGAGAAAAGCAGATCCTGAGGCTGTTTTATTTAGTCTTGGATTCGGCGGTTGTTCCAATAGTCCTCAAGAAAGCGGCCCGTTGTCTCGTATACCTAAAAGGTTCTTACAGCCATCTAAATTAAAAGGAATTGCTATTAATGACTTTGTTAAACAACAACAAGAAACAAGTGAATCTTTTGATTCCGTATCTTTAGGATATAGGGGTCTAACAGGTAAGCCAAAATTTTGTCGTATGTATATCTTTGTAGATAAATTATTTGTTACAATCCTTAATAGGATGAACCTACAATATTATCCAAAGTTTATAATAGAAAAAAAACTTAATATAATATTGTAGCGTTGTACTATGCAACTAATACTTTATAGGAAGCGATGGCACATTAAGTATGAATACAAGTATTTTACATCGCAGACATTCTGGGTCCAGCACATTTGTAAGTTTAATAAATGCAATGTGCAATTACACTTATTTGTTGCAAAAAAAGACAAAAAAAATGAATATCTTTTTTAGTTTGTTGTATACCAACATTTAAGCATGTGATTTATAGTTATTACTTACTCTTTTCTTTGTAAGGTATCTTAATATTATAGATTCTATGTGCATATTATTTTATGTGCAAGTTTTTTGTTATGTGTGTGTGTTTATAATTAAATGAAGCTTATTGTATATAATTTTTTTAATAAATTTTTGGAAATGCATGAGTTTAAATATATAGGAATACCTACACGTGATAGAAATATTTATAAGAAGTCATTTAATTATTAATATTTGCAAAATAGGTACAATTACACACAAATAAATCGTTTACAACTGAAAGATGCCATTCGAAAAATAATAGTTCCAAATGAATGGAGTTTCTGCTTTGTTTTTTATTAAATAGAATTAATAATTTATTTGATATATTATTATTAATGTATCGTATGTAAATATCTTTTACTAATTATGTTTTGTGATATTTTACAAGGTTCGCCATATGTAGCACCATCTGAAATAGTCCAGAAAATCATGGAACGATTGCGCGAACATGAGTCACATGAAATGGATGCATGTGCAATATATAATGCTTATGAACAATCCAACAAAATGTATCCGCAACCTAAACATTCCGTATTATCGCCAGACAACAGACAATTTTTGGAGCAGCCACGTTCAAAAAGCCCTGACATGCGCAATAAGCGTATGATTATTGGTAAGATAAATTATATTAATGTATCATAATCTTCTTTAAATTATTTTCTACTTTATATTATTACATACATTTAAGGACAAAAGTCTTTTGCTTTTGGACACAATGGAGATTTAATTGAGATATGCTTACCAAATACAAAAGAAATATCACACAAAAAAGAGGATAATTATTGTACTATTAGCGATATTTCTAAATTAAGAGAATTAAAGGGAATTCATATGAAGACAGAAAAATCATCCATTAAAAAATTAGATGATGAATCTATTAAAAGAAAATTACTCGATGAATTTAACGGTAGTACTGAATCTTATGAAACTGACGAATCACTGTTGCAACCAAGTAATTACTTCAATGACCAAATAAATGTTAATATGAAATGTAAAGTAGAAGATAAAGAAAAGTCCAAATCAACAGCTACTATAACTGAAAACGATGATAAAATTCCTTTTAAATATGTTGGTATTCGACGTGCTAGCGAAGGATTCGATGAAGTTAATTTAGGAGAGAATAATTTCATTCCGGATGGTAGAAGATTTAGTGATAGTATAATCATTAAAAATCAAATTAATGAAGGCCTATTAAATAGAAGAAAAAGTTTGAAACGTCAAGCAAGAGTAAACGAGTTCGATGTCGATAATTTCTACAGTTCCAGTCCAATAGTATTTAAAGATAAAATCGTACAAGATAAAAAATCTGAATCTGACTTGACACCCGACTTATATGCAACATCCAAAAAGATAACAAACATTCAAGAAATAAATTTAGAATCTACACAAGAAGTCGAGTGTTTGAGTAAAGAAAAAGTCAACGAAACTTATGGTCCATTTAAAAGTTACAAATACGCCCCAAGTATAAGCACAAATACGTCTAGTACATCATTATCTACAACGAGTGTATTAAAACCGACAAAAGGTACTAAATGTTGTAAAAAAAAAAATCAAGTTTGCGATTGCAAAGAAAAGTTAGATACAATTTATAAAGCCGAAGACATGCACGGGGAATGTTACTGTCAATTCGATGACAATAAATGTTGGGAGAAGGTAGAAAAAATAATGCAAGAAAATAAAAAATTAGAGGATATCGTAGCTAAGAGCAGAATAGAAATGGCAGAAATCCGTGACATGTTAAATAGCGTTTTATCCGTTAGAATGGAACCTGGTTTTTGATTGATATAGAATCATCGGAAAAGTTACTTAAATGAATTTTCAGAAAGTATTAATGATTTAATAGATACTATTTACTTAACTGAATTAAAAACAACAAATAATATATATTCTAGGAGAAGTTATCTAAGATAATTTTTAAACGCTTTTTCTAAATACTTTTTAAAAATCTTTTACTCTCTCTTATATATATAAAATAATAGAAATATAGGAGCCTACAATCTAATAAAGAAATAACTAAGAAAACATTAATTTGCTAAAAAAAATCAGTTAAAATGCCAGCAAAAACCGCAATAAAAAGAAATCTCAATATATAGAAAAATATTATAAGTCTACAGTGGGTGATTAGTTAAAAAACAGTTTGGACTGTGAATAAATCGGATAACAAACACATGTTCTGATAACGAACGACTTCACAGAACAAACACAAGAAGATTGGTTAGCGAATATTATCTTTGAACAGATTATGTTCGTTAACCGTTCACCTACTGTATTAAATTAGTTTACTTTTATGTGTATAAATCTATATACATACATATTATGTATATATTTACATAAATATCTTTTAAAAGAAAAAAGATATTTTCTCGGTATTGATTAGAATACAAACACAATATGCAGCAGTGTTTTATTTTTTAAAACGTAATTATTTTTTAATACGGGACTGTGGATAAATACAAAAAGATATACACTGCTTTATATTATCTAATATTTTGGAAATATGCATATTGTTAAATTGTTTTGTAAAGTCAGGATTTTAAAGTGACAAACATGTCGATATATAAACATTTCTATTTAAATATTTTTAATTGACGCTGATAAATTATAATTTGTTTTGTTCTTCTTTTATTTCTATTAATTTTATTTAAGTTTATTTTTGTTGTTATTTAATATATATATATATATAACTGGAATATTAATTATATATAAAATAAAAATAAAAGGACCAAAAATTCTAGTCTTTTTACTAATTATTCTTTAAAACATACGATTTTTGAATTCGTGTTAAATTTATGGTACTATATTTATATTTACGATATTGCAATGTAATCTTTCCGTATGCTTTTCTTTGTTTTTAATATTCAAAACACACATTTGTTTACATTCATTTTATAATAATATTACTTACTTGGTGTATAATTTATTGGTTCAGTTAATGTCGTATTTGAGTTTATTTTTGTTTAAATTAAATTATATTTCATATTACGATTTTAATATATTATGAACGTAATTAAATTACGTTTCTATGCACATAATAAAATGTAATGTGATAAAACGGTTTTTATATTCACGTTTTATACTTGTTAGTAAGATTATGTAACTTTTATTCTATTCTACATCGACAATCAAAAATCATAAATTATACTTGAGCAATATTTTAAGAACTGTATTGTGTATGTGCAAGAATTATTTTCTTGATTCATCTAGCAATATTTACATTCTTATGTTTAATAGTATTGGAAAACATGATATAATATCATTTTCTATATTTTTACACGAAAAAACGGCATAAATTACATAACATTATTTTTTTTATTAAGATACTACGGGGACTCGTGATAAGATATTAAGTACACAATATTTAAATGTTCTTGGAAAATTTATATCTTTACCGATGTTATTATTTTATTTTAGTTGTTATAAATACCAATTTTGCTTTTATCAATGAGAGATAATTAAATCAAGATCAAAATCGTAAATGCTATTTTCTTTCTTTGGAAGAAAATCAATGTAATTTCTTATAGATAATTTTGTCCTGAAATTTGTTTTGTGATTTAAGTTACATTTTTTGATCAGTCTATTTAATCAAGAACAAACTATACAGAAATTATGATAAAATAATTTATCGAATTTTAATTTAGTTGATTTGAAATAAAGTAAAACAATGTATGTAAAACATTGTAAACAAAAATTAAAAAAAGGTATAATGTATAAATTATGGGAAAACTGAATAAAGGTCAACCAAAAAGTATTTTCTTTTTGTAACTCACTTCTTTTTAATATATGTCAGCTTATAGTTTGTGTCTATAAGAATGTTTCTGTTAATTATCATAAAATTCTGATTCTCCTTTTATCAATGAACTTTCAAAGAATTGTATAATCCAATGAATAATTAAAAATAATTATTAATGCTAATATACATTGGTAAAATATGTGGCTCAGTGTTAATATATTACATTTATTATAGTCTGTGCATGTTATCACAAAAACTAATATCAGGAGGAATAAAGATTCAATTTTATGAAGGATAGATGGAAAAGCGTTACTTCAAAAAATTCTATTTTATGAAAGATATTCGAGTAGCGTGTTAATATTGGGCCACAATGTACGAAATAATGAAAATATAATAATGGAAACTAATGATGAGATTCGTTTGCTTAAATAGCACCTTGTAACTTGGGTGAAAAACAGAACTGGACTATTCAATTACCGGATAATGTTTTTCTTTATTTATATTAATTTAATTAAAGTAGACGGCTATACTGAGTTAAAAATTTCTTTTTTTTTTTTAAATCATGAATGAACGTTATTAATATTTAAAAAATAATCATACTTTTCTAAAAACAAATTATACAAATTTTCGTTTAAACAATTATTTCCTTGTTATAGGCATTAAAATCCTCATTTTTTAGTTTTTTTTACATATAATGTTATCAAACATTTTTGATGAAATCGCAGATTTTCAGATAGAGTTATCTGCACTTGTTCATAGCAGCGCACACAAGTATTTGGTAGAATCACATTCACTATACCTAAAACCACCCATTATGAGATAACATTGGATCCATGGTCCACCCAATCTTAAATTTAAATATGATCCTGCTAAATGACTGCTTCATGTTCGTGCATATGTTATGTTTATACATAGAGCGTGATAATAACTGCCTTGCCAAAGTCTGCAGACAATATAAAATGTGCTATTACAGACTTGGGGTATTGGCATGCATCATTTCATATTGACTGTAGTATTTAGGAGGATGACATCTATGACGCTTTCTGTATTTTCACTCATATGTATATGGGATGTAGAGGTATTCATCCTTTATATACCATAAACCATATATAAACAAATAAGAGCAAACTCAAATTAAATTTAATCTTCTTTTTCCTCCCTAAAATAGAAATAAGATACATTTATGTCTTTTAAATAAAATATAGGTAATTTAATGATACAGATAAATTCGAATTAACTAACTTTACAACTTCTTGCTGCTGCTGATCAAGGTGAAGTTCCACAATCGTTTCTGTTCTATTTTGCACTTTGAAAGTTACCTGCGCTGCTATATATTTGTCTTTGTTGCTGATCGACCACCCGGAATACTACAAATGTTAAATAATATTAAGATTATGATTAACAACACATTCATCACCGCGCATATATTGAGTTTTTGACAACACGTAACACGCGTTTTTGATGGTGCCAAAATGTATGCTGTATGCATGAAATACTTATGTTACGAATAAAATATTTGCAAATTACTTAAAAAAATCTATTTAAACTGGATGGAGAACAGAATCAGCTGAATTTTGGATTACATGACCCAAATGGAAACATAGATGTTACCCAGATTTATGTTACGTGGTGATCAACGTATTAAAATAAAATCTTAGATAATTTATATTTTTAAGTAATAACTGAATCAATCTAAATAAATATGCCTACCGTGGAGGTACTTTTGTACAATGTTTTTCCATCTTCTTTGAAAGGTAAAAACTTTTGTAGTAATGCTTTACCATCTATCCTCCATAATGTTGGATCTTTATGTATTCCCATATCAGCTTTGGCGACGACAAATGCACCAGACTAAAAAAAATATTAATATTATCAGACATTATATAAATAATAATGTTATTCTATATATTAAATGTGCTACAATAAATAGAAACAGACTGTGTAATCTTTAGGTGTTTCTCCTGATGATTCGTTGTAACTGTTATCATCAGAATCCTCTTCTTCGTCTTCTTCTTTATCATCCTCTTCTTTCTTAGAACGTCTTTTTCTTTTTGGTTTTTTTTCTGCATCTGAATCTGATTCATCTTCTTCCTCCTCGTCTTCTTCTTCATCTTCCTCTTCCTCGTCTTCCTCTTCTTCTTCCGAGTGTTGTCTTTTTTTAGCTGCTTCTCTTTGTGGTCTCTTTTTTGTAGCACTCTACAAAAAAATAAAATAATCTTATATGAAATACACCTGGTCGTCCCATTAATATTAGAATATACAAATTACAAAGATGTTCTGTTAATTAAGATTGATAAAAATAGTACACAAGATTAAAAACTACGATTAGAAAAGAAATATTTAATATGAGTAAACATTTAGATGGAAATATCAATATACTTATCGTGATAAATGACGACATTGGATTCGCGCGTTTAAAAAATTAACTGCCGGCGCCACTGACCGGCCGGCAATGATGGCCGCGTACAAACATAGTCAAAATATAGAAAACAAACGATTTTAACATAGAAAAATATGATCTATCAACATCACCGCTAGAGAGTATCGTCAAAATCGATCCTGCATATATTTCAATGAAAATGTAGACATTTTTTGGAATTATTATGAACACTATTAACTCTAACGCTAAAGTTTTAATTAAAAGAAGACATTATAAACTAGAATATTTCTATACGCATCTAACGTATAGTTAAAAACTTTCATTTAAGTATTTTATTCTTCTCAGATCGTGAAGTTTATAGTAATAATAGTTAATTACAACAAACAGAACAATCGTATATTTGTTCTACGATAAAGTAATAATCTTTAATCTGGAAAAATTCTAAATATAAATGACGATTAATTCGAGTGATGTTTTTTAAAAAGACTGAAAATTTCTTTAGATAAATGCACGGGGATTGTTGGTGGAAATTATTCGACCGCAAATGACAAGAATGCTCGAATATTATTTTCTAATCGATAAGATTATTAGTTCGAATTAAAAGATATGGAAAATGAGAAAAATGTAATTATTCGAGAAAAGAGTTAAATTTGATTTGAAAAATACATAAAAGAATGACAAGTTTATCCGGTAGCGTGGGTTTACCTCAGCTCCGGCCTCTGGAGTCCACTCTTCCTCGGATGCTCCTTCTACTTCTTCCGGATCATCCGCCGAATATTCGTCCTCGTCCGACACATCCTTCGTTTTTTTCATATTGCTTTTTCGCGAAATTTTCGTAAAAAATCCCGACGGGACTCAATCAACGAATAAAGAATAAACTTCGTACGATTAGGTGCGAACCGTTAAACGACGTGTACGTACACCGCAAACAATATGGCGTCGCGGCGGCACCGAGAAGCACTTTCACGCGCACCTCCTTCCGCGCATATCGGAAATTCAACTGTTTCCTTCACTCATCACCGCCAATTTTCAAATTATCTTCGAGTTATTTATCACGTTATCCCGTCTTTTTACATTTATTATTTACTTTTTTATAATGATATTATATTATATTATCTATTATATTATCTTTTATATTATCCTTTAGATTATCTTTTTAATAATTTTTCGTTATGTATATATTAAATAATTTTGATTTTTTCTTTATCGTATATTCGAGTAAACACATTAAAATAAATGATAAATAATGTTTAATTATATTATGATTTATTTTTAAGATACGATTAAATAGCGAAATTATTTAACTTTTCCAAGCTTTTCTAGCCCGGGTCGATACAAAATTGGCGCATGCGTTCGTTTCTTCTATATCCTAACACTCCCGTTAATGTTTACTACAGTAGACAGTGCATTTTGATGGAAATAATCATTTCAGAAAAAGATGTTTGAACTTTATGGACTCAGTAAGGATGGAATGTTATATCGCTCACCACCACCAACTCGAAAGGATGTTGATATATTGGAGGTAAAGTAAATAAACAAATATTTGTTATGATACTTAAATAACTTCCTGTGCCGGTCGATTATGATCATTGCATTATTGTTATCATTTTTTAAATTTCAATATTTTATATGATAATTATATTTAATTATTATAATACGAAAGTATAATAAAAATTCTACTGTAATGTATTCATAAAAGATGAATAATACTTATAAATAAATTTGTATCAAATTACAAATGTTATTAAAAATATTTCTATATTTTTTATAGACTTGCTTACAACTTTCATCACCAGAAATTATGAGAAAATTGCCTAATGGCGATGCTTTGCATCACCTTAAGGAAGCAAGCGTTTCAACTTCATTGGATAAAAACAAAGATGCCTCGAGAGAAAATGGTTGGTGTTAAGATTGCATTTAATAAATCATTTGGAAGATATTTCTTTTTTATTTTGCACATCGCTGAGTTTAGTTTTGCACGAAGTAGCACGATTTGTTTGAAACAAGTTGGTTCAAATTTTCGTTTAAAACTATTTGTCGCCGTAAAAAATACGCGTAAGACAAGCGTAACGGTTCGAAAAAAAAGGAAATATCTCGTTGATTTGATATGATTTCTATTTACGGTTCGACGAATTACTCAATTGCGAAAACAATGATGACGAACTCAGGAAACTCTTAACTGAAAGTAACTGAAAAGAAAAGAAAGAAAGCTTCCCAGTCACCGTTATGGTAATTTCATGTACGAATAATGTTACGCGCTTGAATAGCTTTTCCCTGTGGGAAGGCATCATCATTAAAAGAGTCATTTTTGAATATATTTCGATGGTTACGGTTATCCTTTACCTTTTATAATTATAATTTTAATTTTTCCTCGACAGGACGTAACATGAGACGAAAATGGATAGTAATGGCAGGATTTTTTTTCCTTGGATGCGCTTTGATCGCTGGTGTTGGATTACCATTAGCATTAGAACTTCGAAGTTCTCATCTTCTGGAAGCGAGATTGCAAGTTGTTCGAAGAATGCTTTCAGAAGTTCCATTAATCGATGGGTAGGCAATAGAAAAAATAAATTATAGTAAAAGAATTTAGTATTCATTGACAATTGAAATATTTTCTCATAGTCATAATGATTTTGCTTGGAATTTACGAAAACATCGTGGAAATACGAAACTGCAAGACTTCCCATTTGACGAAGACGTCTCAAGGAATTCCAGTTGGGGTCCCCAATGGCAAACCGATCTTGTACGTTTACGTCAAGGTATCGTAGGTGCACAATTTTGGTCAGCATACGTTCCCTGCGAGGCACAATTTCTAGATGCTGTACAACTGACTCTCGAGCAAATAGATGTCGTAAGAAGACTTACCTCGAAATATCCGAGGAAGATAAGACTCGTAACTACGAGTGGTGAACTCGAAAAGGCTCACAAGGACAGTGTTATCGCTAGTTTGGTTGGAATCGAGGGGGGTCACAGTATCGGCACTTCTATGGCAGTACTTAGAAGTTTCCATCGTCTTGGTGCACGTTACATGACCTTGACACACAAATGTAATACACCCTGGTAAGTTAGTACTTGTGAAAAAATAAAATGATTACTCACGTAATAATCTTAAGGAAATTAATGAAGTGTAAGCGTTTATCAAAGCGTTAAGAAAGTTCATTTACTTTTATTTTTCTCTTACCGATGATTCTAGGGCAGATTCCTGTTCCGTTGAAGATCCAGATAGAATAGCACCCGCTGATTTTCAAAGCGACGGTCTTTCCACTTTCGGTAAAGCTGTTGTCAGAGAATTGAATCGATTAGGAATGCTCGTTGATCTTTCTCACGCTTCGATCAGGACTATGAAAGATGCGTTATCTATAACAAAAGCACCTGTTATATTTTCGCACAGTGCGGCCCGTTCCCTTTGCAATTCATCCAGCAACGTACCGGACGATGTACTTAAAAATTTGGTAATTTTAGACAATTATTTACTCTCGTTTAATATTATTCAATGAGATAATTGTTATTTCATTATTTGTTTTTTTTTGTTATTGATTGTTATTTTTATTTTTTATAACTTTAATTATTTTTCCAAGTCCGTTAATGGTGGCTTAGTCATGGTCAGTTTCGATAGTACACATCTTAGCTGCGGAAGCAAGGCTTCCATGAAAGACGTTATAGGTAAGTTTTAATAGACGTTTATTGCTTTAGTAATAATGAGATAATTTTTTACATTTTATCCTTGTTTTTAGCTCACATCAATCATATTCGAGGAGTAGCTGGTGTTAATCACGTTGGTTTGGGCGCTGGTTATGATGGAATTTTAAGGTTTCACGTTTGAGACTTCACATTTAATAAATATTCGTTTCATTAATTAAAATAAATAAATATGTTAATTTGTTTTTACAGTCCACCTACAGAGCTTCCAGATGTTTCAGGATATCCATTGTTATTAGCGGAATTAACAAGAGATAGATTATGGTCCGCTTCCGATATCAAGAAACTAGTCGGTGGAAATTTGTTACGAGTATTGAAGGAAGTTGAAAATCATGCTATTGTTGCATTACATCAAGCACCAGCCGAAGAATGGATATCGCAAGAACTCATTGAAGATTCTTTCAATTGTATAAGCATAGATGTTTCAATTTGATCATTTCAATTTCAAGAATTGAATTTCATGAATTTGCTCATGTTAAATAATAATAATAATTATCCAGTTTCATGGATATCCTTAAGATAACGCTAGAAACGAATTGTTTTCTTTACGAAAGATTATTTTTTGTTAAACAGCATGGATATAAAACGTAGAAGGAAAAATTCTTTGATTATTTTCGTCGAACATTTGTATTCATAATGATAGTGCAAAATCTTTTAAAGAAGGGGAAATCTTTCCGAAAATGTCCTTAATATCTAACACGATCATTGAAATGGTGTACCTGGCCTTAACAATTTTATACTTTTCAATCAAACATTATCAAACTATCAGGTTCTCAAACAGTATTCTATTTAATAAACAATTTTTTATACATGCTAACTCATGAAATAAATCTTCACAAAGTGAGGATAAACTGAAATAAACGATTGCTATCACGAAAAGAAACTGCCAAAATGAGGATGCACGTGTTAACAGCCTACGCTCTAAAAGATTAAATAAAATTGTTGAATCTTATAGGAGCAATCTCGAATGGTAACATTTAAAACTTATGGCCTTTATTAAACTAATTTTCTACGTTACATTTCTTAAGATATTTCAAACGTGTTAAGAAAAGTATGACATTTTAAACAAAATATATAAACAAATTAACTTATCTTGAATAATATGACGTTGTTAAATGATAGGTGATAAGAATAATTGTTTTATTTAACGAATCTAATGTACTTTTACTCGTTAAAAAAGAAATAAAGGATGTAAAGAGAAAAATGATATTTCATTAAGCAGAAATTATGCTTATATAGCAAAAATTATTAAATAAGAAGAAAAAGAAACAATGATTTATAGTAGTTTTCCTCGAATAAAGTTGTTAGTTTCGATCAAAATGAGAATCTTAAAGACTATCTTATGTTAGACAGTTGAGTGGGGGAGTAGGATGATTAGACTCGCTTCTTCTCGAGCCGAAACTTCAGTTTGGTTTATCGTCTGTCTCGAGGCGTACACATTCTTCCACGAGGAGGAGCTAACTTGATAGATTATCTAAATCAAACCGCGGGAGAATTTCAAACAAAATTTTTATATCGAATGATACAGTGCAACTATCGGGCAACAAACAATTGCGAAATTAAAAACAATAAATGAGAATAATAATTTGTTTTTTCCCTCTCTTTATACGTTTATGTTCCTAACTCTCGTAATCTCACAATTTTCCTACGATTTAAAATTTTCATTTCAATTGTACGCGGTAATTAATAGTAATCAAAAAAATTCATTCACAAGATTGTTATTAACAAATATTTTGCTATAATAAATTTCATATATTTTTAAACACAAGTGCGTATATTCGAAAAAATAAAAAAGAAATCAGGTGAGTGTTCATCGACATTTAATTTATTTATCATTCATCTTTACATGTATCTTTTATTAATTAATATTGTTTTGATTAATGATCGAAATAAAAGAAGGAATTCTGTTTCTAAAAAAAAAGAACAAAGGATATATTTACTGTTACGTTGGACAATTTCGATTGTAAATCCTTCGATAAATGTTCGAAGATCAAGGCAATAAATGTTAGAATATAATAGATTGTAATGTTGCACGTGCCATCATTGCTTACACGTGATTGATACTTCATTTATTATATCGACTTTTTTTATGATCTCTGAACAACGTGGCGCGACGTACTCTCCGAGATCAAAAACCTCGAGTTCTTTTCTAAATATAAATTAGCATATTTTTACACGCTGTGAGGATACACTTTTAAAAGCCCGAGTTCTTATACAGATTTGTAATGGAAAACATTTGCGCGGGAAGGAAAGTTACTCAGTTTATTTTTAAAAAAAGAACCGACTGTCTTCGTGCGTTTTTCTAATCTTTTCTTGGATCATTTACATTTTAATTATGGTAATACTAACATAAATATTAATATTAATTGATCATTTATATTTTTATTATCCTCACGAAGTAATGAGTAACAAAACAAACGAATAAATCAATTAAAATTACTAATTACATTACAGAAATAACTAAAAATGCTGCAAAAATTAATTAAAATTATTTACAAAATTATTAAAAAGTTATTAAATCAATTAAAAACATAGAAAAATTTTCTTATCTTCTACTTGTTTAAATATTATTTCTATTTTTCTAATTTTCAATCGCTTATACTAATTATATGGCACAGGTTAAACTAAACTACTTTCTTCGGTCCAATGATTTCCGAGTGAAAATCTTGACTATCTTCTCAAGAGAACTAAACATGTTTCTATTTTCACATCTTTTATCCTAATCGTTAGACAATTTTCTCTGTGATTCTTAATCGATTTGATATCAATTCTATTAATAATACAATTGCGTAAATAAAGTTATACCTAATAAAGAAAACATTCTTGAGAGAAACAAAACTAATAATAAGTTGAATAAATAAGAGAAAAAGGAAAAAGAAAAAAAATGATAAAAAATTCAGAAAAAGAAACGGGAGGAAAAAAAGATACTACTAGTTGTAGAAAATGTGAGCTTACACCGCGTGCAGATATAATAACGTAAATTGATCTATCTTCGTAATGTGCCGGTTCTATCGGATATTATACAATACACAATACACTTACATATATGTATGTGTAATATGTTTATCCAATACACAATGACAGACCGGTTTTAACCATTAACGCATTGTTGATCTTTTTCAGGAAAATATATAAGTAATTATAGATTGCATATAAATGATGATATGTTATAGACAACTGATAAACGTTTGTATATATTTCCTTGATGTCGATAACAGATCGATTTAAATATCTAAACAGAATTGATATTATCTTAAATATTAATAAACAAATAATTTCCGCGTAAAAATCGTGCATACAAATATGTGTTTTTTGATTAAGAAGATAATCTTTGTTTCTTGCAATCATTTTAGTCAAAAATTAACACTAAACATAGTGTTCCTTGAGAATTTAATTTGAAGATCATGCTATACGCGTTTATTATACCTCTAATTAGAAAAAAGAGATTGATAAATTAATTCTAAATCAATATGCTTCATGATTGTACAAGATGATCAAGTAGAAACTGGGCGAAGGAGAAACGAAATCATTCGATGTCTGTGACACATTGTTTTTATGTTCTTCTTTCATTCAATGCAAAGAAGCATCACGACGATGAGTATAATCGTCATCATCAAACGATGCATTATTTTTTTTCTTAATAATTCACTTCGTGGTTATTGTTCTTTGTTTCAGAGTTACCAAGCAAGAGCACACGAAACCGCGAGCATTGACGATTACGAAGAGGTGGTTTGTACAGGAGAACGAAAGATGAGATACAAGGTTAGATCTAGTCCTTGCTATCCTTTTTTTTTTCTTCCTCTTCTTCAACTTATTTATTTTTCTTTTCTTGTAATCTTTAATAATTTTTTTTCCTGCTGCAATATTGAATGCTTTAATAGCAGCTGTCCCTGGAGACGATACATTCTCGTTTCTCTTTCTCTCATTGCTTTACCTCCTCATCTTTCTCCTCTTCCCCCTCTTCCTCATCCTTCTTCGCCCCCTCTCGTTTTGTGGATATGATATGTTGGTTGTACCTGCATAAAACATAAGACGTATACTTAAATGTTCGAGATGCAATGCTTTATTTGATCTCTTTGAAATTCAAATCTTAAGCTTTATACGTAGCGTTTTAATAAAATATCAATCAATGCAAGGAGATCCCTTGTAGGAAGTTGTTTGTTTGTTTGTTTTTCCAAAGAGATGATGCGTACGATTCGAAGGATGCATTTGCTTATGCACATGCTTACCTTTCATTGTTACCACGTGTGACTTGAAAATATCAGTGTGAATTATTTACAGAGATTCATTGTGCTCCTAAGACAACGTTTCCTTTTTTTTTCTTTCCTTCTTTTATGTATTATTCAAAGTACATACGTACTAGGTACAAGTTATTTTCAAATGAAGGCCATTTATATGACTCGGTTATCTTACAATGTATATGTAATGAGACTTGTAATTAACGAAAATGTATATTAACAATTGGTAGCAAATAATACCTGTGTTCAATATCTATTTTATGTATTGTCACGATTCTAGTGAAATCAACGATCTCTTAAAAGATAATTAGAGCGTAGAAGAACGTTATTATACCTTTAAAGTTTCCAACTGTTTGAAAAATTAATACTAATGACAAATCAAACACCTGAAATCAATACTAAAACAAATTTGTATTAAATTGTCCTGCTTATTAGAATAATTAATATTTAATAATTACAAAATGTTCTCTATTATATAATATATTATATTATATTATTATTATTATTATTATTATTATTATTATTATTATTATTGTTGTTATATATTAATTATATATAAATGTAATATGTAAAAATATTAATAATTACTAAAATAGTTTGAAAAAAATGATACATCACTTTCGTCATAAACTTCTTATCTATAACAGAATAATTAAATCAAATTAATTTCACTTTACTCAATATTGCATTTAAAAAAATAAGATTAAAAGAAAAAATAATAAAAAAGGAATTTCATTAAACTTCTTCTTCGTATAATTATAAATAAATTGTATAAACAGTTCGTACTTGGATGATTGAAAAGAAGTCAAAGTATCTATAATAAGAATACTATCGTCTTATAATCGTATAAATAGAGTAGATTCGTTGAAAAGGAGAGAAAGAGAGAAAGATATACGTTATCGTTTAGCACGATATTTTTCTTTTGTACACACGATTGGAGCTAAATGAATCGATTAATTACGGTAGTTAAAAGGAGTCATTAAAAATCGTATCAATCGAACAATGACTTTTGACGATATAAATACTCTCGTATTATTATCGACAAATCATTACTTCCCCCTCCTCCTTTATTTTTTTTATTCCATTTATTACAAATAACACCTATCATCATAAATAATTAAATTCATATTTAAACAAATATTGACACCAATATCATTAACGTGTGCATATAATAAAATACAATATGTACCAATATTTATAGATATATATGTGTTTTTGTATATGTGATATTCGTTTATAGTAGGAAGTTATTTTCTCAAAATTATATATCTTTTTGATGCATATTTACGCAACTGCTGTAAACATTTCAGTGATTTCCTTGAAAAATAGGAGAGTGGAAAAGAAGGAGAGGGGGAGGGGGTAATAAGGATACTGTTCATTTAGATGGGCTTTAATAAGAGGAGGATTATTATAGATTGCAGCAGGATGTTAAGAGAGGAGTGTATAATGCTGAGGTAATTCCATTCCGATTCTAGAGCAAGGTGAGACCTTCATTCGTAGACATTCACGTGCCGATGGTTGACACTAAACTAATGTTCGATTAGGTAAACCGATTAGGTTTTGTTACGATTGATCCCTGTGGAAAAAAATGAGTCTATACAACTGAGAAGCCGCAAGGACGAAATTCAATGACTAAATCAGATCTAAATTTATGTGTATGACTTTTTTTTTTACGACCAAATCAGTTTCTAGGATCTTTTGTAATTGTTTTGTATTAAATTTTATTTATATAAATAATACCATCTCTAATCGATTTGTATAAGAATTAATTAACGATAGTTTAAATCGACTTATTTATTAAAAGGTCAATTGGCCTATCGTGTATTTGATGTCAATTGCGAATTATGTTCCCGCAATTTAAATGATTTTTTATTCATTTTGTGTTTTTTATAGGTCAATGACCCCGAAAATAATGGAAGCAGAACGGCCGATGACAGTAACAAACATTCAGAACTTCCATGGTGATTATTACACGAAATGAATTTTTTTGTTTTTGTTTAAATCGAAATGGACAAATATTTTTATCCTAAAATACCGAACAATTGTTTTATTTTATTTAATATCTTATTAACTTTTGACATAACAGGCAATGCAATCATGGAGACGAAAAATCAAGCAAAAAGGAAACGAGGCTCGTGATAGTAGTTGTTTTATTAACGATAACTGTAATTACTCTTGTTATTACCTTAACTTTGCAAATGATCGTATTTTATAAGGAAGAATACAAAGAAATGTGTCAGAGCGAAGAATGCATAAAAACAGGTACTTACAGATGATTAACAAAAATGAATTGTAGTAAAACTAATGAAAATATTTTACTTAATTCACGATCTCTCGATTTATCGATCAACGATTTGTTACAATTCCGAATGATTTAGCTTCCAAGTAGTCTTCTCGTTTTACGAAATTATTAGATAACACACATTGACCTCAAACTCGTTATTATCTGCACTTTTTGACTTATCAACGCTGTCATTTATTCTTTAAACGTTCATTGAACGTTCCAAATATCAAATAAGATGACAGTTTGATTTGGACCAACATTTCCGCGTTAGATATCATCAGAAGTTTTATTTGTTTGTTTCTTTAGATAATTTCTTTTTTTTCAGCTGCTAGAGTATTAGGATCAATGAACAAATCCATAGACCCTTGCGATGATTTCTATAAATTTGCATGCGATGGTTGGGTAGCTAAACATCCAATACCCCAAAGCCAAGTATCCTGGGATCAATTAAGTCTTCTTCGTGAATATCTTCTACAAGATTTAAGAATTTTGTTAGAAATGCCTGACAAGGATGACGATCTAAGGCCCATTAAATTAGCTCGTGCTCTTTACAAAACTTGTATGGACACCGGTAAATTTAATCGTTCAATTACAAATCTATTAAATATACAAAAATAAATTACATCTAACTCTTACATTATTCATAATCATTTTTATACTATTATGAATTTTACTTCCGCAATTATTATTTATATGCTAATGATGAAAGAATAAATTATTATATCACGTAACGGTATTTATGATAGGTGATCAAGTATGATAATAGAAACGATTGATAAAAACATCTAAATGGAATTTATCTTATACACATTTTTGTATAAATGAAAGATTAATTTATTCTTATAAAAAATATGTTAATTTTTTTTTTTTTTTCAATTTGTAGCGAGCATCGAGACCTTGGGATTAGAACCGATATTCCATGTATTAAAACAAATAGGATTACCAACCGATCCACCATTACAAATTAAAATATCTCCCCTCGATTTGTCCCAAATAGCTGGTGCGACTCGTAGAATTTTAGGTTTAAATCTGTTGGTCAATTTTTATATTAGCGAGGATATTCGAGATACGACGAAGAATCGAATGATGGTAAGATTATATTATTGTATTTTTAAACTTGCCCAGAGAAATTTTTTCTTAAAATAACTCGATTATATTATTTGATTATTATTATGCGGTAGACGGAACAAGTATCTCCAGCTTTTAGTGAACGATATCTCCTGGATCCTCAACGTTTTCAATCTGAATTAGGAGAATATAAAAAATATATCAAAGCCATGTTGGAATTAGCTGGAGCTGGAAATAGAAGCACAAGTTTTGCCAATGAAATTTTAGAATTTAGTACGAAAATTGCCAAGGTACAATCTGTTATCCACATGAATGAATTGAAAATAGTTTGGAGCTTAACATAGAAACAATTATTTTATATTTTTTGTTATAATCTCAAAACTTTTCAACCCACTCTCGTAATCAGTGGCGGATCAAGTTAAATGGGAACTGGCTCCCAATGGTAAAAATTTCGAGACTCTCAAACTCAAGTTAGACAAAATATATATATTATATATATATATTTTATATATTCATATATAAAAAAGAAAAGTAATCAAAAATTTCATACCATAACACATGAATTAAATTTATTTAAAAAAAAATGTAATTTTCCTTAAACCCTAATAAAAAGAAATTTTAAGACCTCGTGGCTCCTTTGGAGCTCTTTAGTAGTCCGTTTACTGCTTAATCTGCCACTGCTCGTAATACTTTAAACAAAGATGATTTTGTTTATATAGATCAATCATTATCTCTTTGCATAGATCATGGATACACCAGAACAAAGACGTAGCGTACATCATCTTTTTCATGACGTTACAATCGATACATTACAAGAGCTGACTGATCTTCGTGTACAACAGGTAATACACATCTATTACATGTTAACGAAAAAATCATTACAAATGTGCATAGAAATGATAAGAAAGATTTTTAGTGGAACTGGACGAAATATCTGGAAAATGTATTTGATAATACAAACGTGACCATAAACACAGGAATTGATAGAGTCATAGTAATGGATCTACACTATTTACAGAAATTGCCCCAACTACTTGCAATTACTCCACCCGCTACGATAGGTATACTTATCTTCTCCATCACTGTTAAGCTAACTACGCTTGTCTCAACACTTTAATATTCATTCGCTTATCTATCATATACTATTACTTTAATATTCAGCACAAATGTCTCTATCACAAATTAGATACGTGTAACAGTATATAGGTCAAGTATTTTTCAAATAAATCTTTTGAAAGGATTATTCAACAAAGTTTCATTGTTGAATTGTGAAAAAAGGATTGTTGTTTCAAATACTAGTTTGCTAACGTTTATTTCTTATCATTGAAAAAAAGACAAAAGTAAATAATGAAAAATCGTGAAGTTAAAAGAACGTATTCTCATAATCTAATGAGGGCAGAAAAGAGCAAAAGGTTATCATCCAACTGCTTTTACTCATAACATTTAGTGACATTGTTTTCAATTACTCGTTCATTTTAGTCCTACTATCCATTCGATCTTTGAAAAAATTTTTTTAACCGAAAACTATTCGTGTATTATTTAAGCACGTTTTATTTGGTGGAGCGTATATTCAGCGATTACTCCACTCACATTACAAAAGTTTCGTGACCTTGGATTCCAATTTTCTCAAAAAGTATTTGGGCTTAAAGAAAAAACACCCAGGTGGAAAGGTTGTACAGGAAATGTTAATGCTAATTTTGGAATGGCTCTAAGTTACGTTTACGCTCAAAAACATTTTAATGATCAGGAAAGGGAAAAAGTAAGTGAACTGTTTTTTTCTTTTATTATTAAATCAAATGATTATTTTAGATAATTGGATAATAATTACAATGATAACTTTAGGCTTTGGAAATGTTGATGGATATTAGAACAGCATTCGATGCAATGGTTAAAGAATTAGATTGGATGGATGCAGACACCAGATTACGTGCTCACAAAAAATTATACGCGATGAGACCGTTCGTTGGTTTTCCTAAATGGATTACAAATCCAGAAAAATTAAATAAATTTTATGAAGGTGTAAGTTCAATTTATTTTTATCTTAATTTAAGGTAAACAAAAAGTATTTATTACTAATTATCCATCGAACGATTACTGTTGTAGGCCGAAGTAATGGAAGGAAAATTGTTTGAAACTTTTTTACAATTAACGGACGTAGGTGTTAAGAAAAATTTAAATAGCTTACGAGAAAAACCTGACAAAGATCGATGGATATCAACTGGGACTACTGTTAATGCATTTTACAGTGCTATTTTAAATTCAGTCAGTAAGTATATTAATGCTAAAAAAATGAATAATTAATAATTAATTAATTATTTAATGTAATGGATATATTTTTCAGCATTTCCAGCGGGCATTTTGCATCCACCATTCTATGGAAATGGAATAGAGTAAGCGTGTTGTAATTAAATCTATCGTTTGTATTTTCAAATACATTAGAAATATAATTTTATCTTATGTTAAATAAAAAAAAAAACAAGCGTTAGCGTAATCAAAAATAATAAACGTTTTTTTATATAGATCGATAAACTATGGTGCAATGGGTGCGATTATGGGTCATGAACTTACTCATGGTTTTGATGATCAAGGTACAATTGATGTCACGAATACATTGATTTATAGTAATCGACAAAAATTACACGAATTTGATTTGTCTTTTCTTTTTTTTTATGTCAGGTCGCAGATACGACGAAAACGGCAATCTCAGGCAATGGTGGAGCGACGAGACATTGCAACATTATCATGAGAAAGTTGAATGTATCATCAAACAGTATAGTAGTTATCATCTTCCTGAGCTGGGTAACAATTTTACAGTGAGTAAGATTCTCGTTGAAAATATACCAAAACAAAACGTGCCAAGGCACATACATTGGCTAATTTACTAAGGACAAATCGCTAATAATATTTTTTCTTTTTGTTTTCAGGTAAATGGCATTACAACTCAGGGTGAAAATATTGCTGACAATGGTGGAATAAGAGAAGCTTATAGAGCATATCAAAAATTAAAAGCACGCAATTCACATCAGCAAGCTTTGCCTGGCCTTTCTGAATATACTCATGACCAATTGTTCTTCTTAGGATTTGCACAAGTAAATATTTCATTGGAATTCATTTTATTTTTCATTTAAATCTTAATGACAACGTTTTTATTACACATTCATTGCCATTTATTTTGTAATAGAAAATTTTGCAACTATTATCATCAGTTTGATGAAATAGTATAGATTCGTTTCTAATTAAACAATTATTTACTAAATCATTAGTACAAATAAAATATTTTTTTTTATCATTATCGTTGAAATGAATAACATAAACTTGTTTTTTTCAGGTTTGGTGTGGAAATTATACGAATGGAGCATTAAAATCTAAGCTAATAGAAGGTGTTCATGCACCAAATCATTACAGAGTAATCGGAACGTTGTCAAATAATGCTGAATTTGCTAAAGCATGGAAATGTTCTACGAACAGTCGTATGAATCCAAAACATAAATGTATTTTGTGGTAAATTGTTTTTTATTTAACTCAATTAGAAGATATATTTGTAAGTTTGTAACAGAGTTTGATGAAAGAGAAGCATCGAATTGTATTTATTTGCGGAATTTATTATACTAGATATTTATATAGACTGATAGGAGCTAGCAAATAATTTATTATTACTCTTATATATAATAATCTGCGAATCTGATTTTAGCGACTGTAAATATCGTACAAAAAAATAAGTTAACTTCCACAAGTTACTGCTTTTTTTTTTTCATCTTATTCGACGATACAAGATGTCCGTCTTCTATCGTTTTTCTTTTTTTACTAACTTTTTTATTTTTCTCTTCTACCTTCAACGACTCAGTTTTCCATTTCTCCCGTTTCTTAACAGATTCTGTATCTTTTTTTGTGATATTTTTTGACGGTATAGGGCGATTTTCCTCTTCTATTTTTTTACTTATTTTTTTACTTACTTTCTTACTTCTTTCTTCTAACCAATTTTGCTTCTTATTTTTTTGAATTTTACTATCAGATTCTGTTTCCGTCTTAATAGTCTTTTTTCTCTTTTTGAAAGACGTCTTAGTAACATTTTGCTCAGTTTCTTCTATTTTTCTTTTCTTAATATGTACATCCTTTTTCTTCTTATTACTATTACTATTACTATTACTATTACTATTACTATTACTATTACTATTACTATTATTATTTCTATCTTCATTTAAAGTTTTCTTCTTTGGCGAAGGAGAAAAATTTTCTACAGAGTCAATACTTCGTTTATTCCGTTGATTATTTTTACTTAATTGTCCATTTGTATTTAATTTTCCCGATGAATTAGCATCTGCTTCTATCCATTCTGCACTTGTTGAATTATTCTTTGACGTTGTGCTTAGATTAATATTAGAATTACCAATAGATGTAACTTCCCAATGATCGTCATCATCATCGTCACTATCATTATCATCATCATCATCATTATCATTATTAGCATCATCATTATCATCTTCTATAATAACTTCCTGTTGTAATCTAAATTTATTTTTGTTTTTTACTTTCTCTTCAACTTTAAAATCTGTTTCTTTTTTATAAACTACATTTTGATACAACGCTGCAAGTGTAAGACAGGTAATTCTAGCATCACAATTAATACTCTGTAACATATCGACCTTATTTCTGGTAAATCTCCAAAGTTTAATTTCCCCATTACTAGAAGCAGTTACCAACAAATCGTCTTTGTACGCCATACATTTAATTCTAATATCGTGCGCTAATATATTTAAAGTATAAGCTAATTTTTCAAGATCATAAAATTTAATATGACCATTTTCTAAACCAATAACAATCAAGTCATCTTTTAAAAATTCGACGCATACCACTTTAGAATCTAATTGTACTTCCTGGTCGATACCTGCATATTGTACTGAGAATATGTCAATTTGTTGATTAGCTGCCAGAAGATATTTTTCACCGTTTGGACTCCACTTTAAAACTATGATGTCTTTAGCATCAGATTTTAAACGTGGTACCAAATTTGTAGCATATGCTTGTCTTCCTTTAACTAAGTTCCATGTTCTAAGAATACCATCTGCTCCTGTCGATAAAGCTAATTTCCCTGTTGGATGTATAGCTAAAGTATGAACAGATAAACCTTTATGTGGTTTCATCCAATGTTTCTGCATTTGCCAATTTCCGCATCTAACAGCAGCTATTGTTCCATCCTTGCTACAGGAAAATAGATGTGATGCTTCTGGTGTAAAAGTAACATGATTAACAGTATCTACAAACGGAAAGTAATAAAAACTTTAATAAAATAAATGATTAACGAATAGAGAAAGAGAGAGGAAGAGAGAGAGAGAGAGAGAGAGAGAGAGAGAGAGAGAGAGAGAGAGAGAGAGAGAGAGAGAGAGAGAGANAGAGAGAGAGAGAGAGAAAAAGAGAGAGAGAGAGAGAGAGGAAATACAATTGCGTACCATTATGATGCATCAATTTGCCAGATTCTATTCTATTGCGCAAATCATATAAACAGATTGTTTCATCTGCGCCTGCTGACGCTAAATAATAATTATTGCTAGCAACACTTCTTATGCTACCCAAATGACTATGCGTAGCAAAACTTTTCTCAAGTTTATATTCCTGAAACAATATTTTCAAAATATAATTAATCAATCATTGTATTAAAGGACGAAGAGTATTAAATATGGAAGCTATTATCTTTAAATAAAAAGGTAAATTTATTACTCGTAAACAAGTTATATTAAAATAAATAAAATATAACATCAAAACATTCCCGGTAAACCGGCTTCAAGAATAGCATCCATAACCTATAAATATTTGTTTAGAAAGTTCATTACTTACATTAACGATATTGGTGAATTTATATCCAAGTAAATACTGCTCATAAGTACCTACTATAATTTCAAAAAAATTCGGCGTGTTTAAATTAATCTGCATGATGATTATTTTGAAGATACAATTTATTTTAATGAAACCATTTGATCTACACGTGCGAACACAATGGGTGCGTTCCACTAAGCGCTCACAACGATCAAAATGCTCCTTTAGTCGTTCCACATAACGACCGCGGTCGTGTGGTCGCGGCGAAACGTCACTCATGACGTCATTACTAACGCTCACGCGAAGCCCACAACGACCCATCTGAAAACGTGGGTTGTAGTGAGCGTTGAGAAAATTAGCGGTTTTTTCGAAACTGACAACAATAAAAATGGCGACCGTGAAACTGACATGAAGGATTACAGATTAAATCTTAACCTCTTTAATCTTTTACTTTCTTTTCACTACCTCGCCATTTGTATTATTACCTCCACGCTCAAAACGCACCATAGTCCATTCCACTTGAATTTACGACAGTAACGCTCGTAGGTAAGTGGAACGGGAAAAACTGTGGTCGTGAGCGTGATCGTTGTGAGCGCTTAGTGGAACGCACCCACAATGCGTCTGATACTACGTGTTTCAAAATACTTTGAATTTTTCTAGAAAAGTAATAAATTTTAGTTTCTCTCTATCACGCTTTGATATAAAAATTATTTATTAAAATAAATATTAATATAGATGGTTTTAGGTTATACTTATGCTATTTAAATTTAGCATAAAATTTCTCTTTCGACTTTTATTTAATAATTTTTCCAAAAACTGATTGTTCACAAAAATGACTTGAAAATTTAATCACTGATTCTGCAATACATATGCAGAATTTTGGCAATGTATTCATTTGCAATGTTCATTCAATATGGAAGGAGTTCATAGTGTTTACATAGATAGACATTATTTTCAAACTTTGTTAAACAAAATATGCTGCCAGTTGAGCCATTTTATCCTTAGGAGGACGTGGTTTGCCACGGCTACGACCTTTTGCATGCCCTCGTCCATGAGTTGCAACTGGTTTGGATGCTACCGCCCTATGTTTTTCAACAAGTGCTCTGAATGCCGGAGTACAGAAAATACACCCAGAAGTTTCGGTTGCTTCATCTGGTAATTTACTTTTATCCTAAAATATGTAATAATTATATAAGTAAGGTTGAAGATGTTATTATTTAAAATATGAATAATTAATAATCACCTGTTTATATTCCACATTAAGCAATTGTGCCCCGCAATCGCATACATCAGAATCTACCGTTATTTTATGAGCATTTTCAAATAAATGAATAATAACATCACAACGATTACACCCAACTTTCCATTTGGGTGCTGCTGAGGGATCAAGAACAAGAATTCCTGTATCGCATTCTAAACAACTGGATACTCCGTTAGAGTTTAAACCATGGGGACATGTCGGATGTGTACATAAATTACATCCACTCATACCTTTCTTCATATCTCTGAAATTTCCAAATATAATATTTAAATTTTATATATATATATCATTTTCCGAATTAAAATTTATATTTTGTATTTATTTACCTGAATGGTGGATTGTTATAGCAATATGGACAAAATGTATAACTCTTGCCTCTTGCACCAGTTGACCAAGACAATAATTCAAAGTCATCCAGTGGACACTTTAATTCTTTATAAATACGTATATTTCCATTTTGAGGTAGATTATACGTTTCGTTACAGTGCGCGCAATGCATTCTCGATGGTTTGGTTTGTATATACTTCATATAGCGTCGACACTTACCACATCTATATGATTAACAAGACTTTACACATTAACAAAACTTCCAAAGTTAAATTAAACAAATAAAATCGTACGTTATACCTTGAGTGTGCTTTGCCAGAAGCTGAAAGAGGAGAAAAGGAGACTTCGAATAACTGATCCATGGCTTCGATACTTTCAACGAAGTAATGAAACTTTTGTCTAAATATTTCAACAGTATGTTGTAAAACAGCATGAAAGTCTGCACGACCCTGTGCTATTAAATTCAATTGTTCTTCTACCGCAGATCTCATAGTTGGTAAAACTAATTCTGGATCTATCTGAAAAATGTACGAATAATTATAAATACAAATATAATAAATACATTCTACTAATTTAATTGTATAAACATAAATAATATTAAGAAATACCTTTTGATATCCATGAACTAAAACTATACCTAACGAAGTAGGTACTAGTTTTCTTCCGGGAGCAATAGTAACATAATTTCTCATACAAATATTGTTTATATGCACTGGAATAGAAGCATCTGTTCCAATACCATGCTTTTCCATGAGAGATATTAATTCTGCTTCTGTTAAATAATCTGGGGGTTGAGTATAAAGTTCAACTAATTTGGCCTGTATATAATAAAACATTTTCTTTATAACATATTATGAAAAAATATCAAAATAAAATTTAATAAATAATATAATGAACCTCTTGAATATCAACTTTTTCTCCAAATGAAATCTTTGGTAGCGTATCGTTGGTTCCAAATGATTGCCAAGTAAGAATACTAGTATATCCAGGATCTAGTAATGTACGACCAGTTGCAGTAAATATTTCCATACCTACTTTAAATTTAATTACTGTGCTTAAATATTTGCAATCTCGTGCCACCTATTATTTCAAATTTATTATATATATAAATATATAAAAATATAATAAATTCTATTATATTTTACAGTTTCAATAGTTCTTACTTACAGTTGCAATAACATGTCGAGTTATATAGTCATATAATCTCCATGCATCACCATCTAGTTCATTTCTTGTAGCGTATTTCATAGGAGTGATAGGTGGATGATCTCCAACATCGACACCTTTTCTAGGTTCATTAATTCCCCTTTCAAGTATTTGTTGCACTTGTTCTCCCCATTCTGGATCATACCGTTGTTTCAATAATACTCCCCTAAGAATAATAAGATTGTAAAAAATAAGAAGCACGAAATATAGAAACAAATATAACACGTAACTTTACACTTTAATTCATATTAATTAATATACTTTTTTATCGTACTTACACTAAGTCAAAATTTTCAGGATAAGACGTAGTTTCTGTTCTAGGATAACTGATGTATCCTTGAGTATATAAACGTTCAGCAATTTGCATAGCATGATGAGGTCCCATTCCCAAACCAGAACTGGCTACTCTCATCAGTTCTATCGTATTTAAAGCTATAGGACGTGGTTTTGTTTTTTCTGTACTTTGCACACTTACTACGCTGAATATCATATGTAGAAATATTTTCTTCTTTATATACTATATCTTTTATATATGTCATATATTTATAAAATACTCACGTTGCGTAGGTATACTCTTTAACGTAATTTAAAAACATATTAGCCACTTCTTTATCGAAAGATCTTATACGACTCCAAGTCAAAGCAATGTCCTGTCCTTCCGGTGATTTAATTGTAAGCTAAAAAATATTTAAATTCACATTAAAATTATATTTGTATCTATATTATTATAAAAAAATGATTAAAGAAATAAATACCTGAAGAACCCAATATGGATCAGGCTTAAAAGTCTGAATTTCATCATGCCTTTGTACGCAAAATCCTAAAGTCGGTGTTTGACAGGGACCATAGGAAATAAGCGAAACATCTAAGTCACCATATTTTCCCTGAAATAAGTTAAAAATCGTATCAGATAATTTGATTTCCTTTTTCATATAGAAATAAAAAAATGATATAAATGATACATCAGAGTTATACCTGAAAAAATTTAGTTTGAAATCTGGTAAATGCACAACCAATCCGCAAATCGAGTTCTTGGCGTGCATCCACGCTTTTAGCTTCATTTTCATTAGGTTTAATGAGATTAGCAAAAGCATTTTTGATATCTTTGTTAGTAATCGCAGAAAATTTAGCACGCCAAATGTCCTATTAAATTGATGAACATAATTAATTTAAGAAAAACGACTTTTAAATATAAAAAAGAAACAAAATATTAAGAATATCATTGGATTACATTTGGAGATAGTTTTTTAACTTTTTGTATCGCATGGATTACTTCAAAACAAATATTTTCACCTTCCTTGTCGCAATCCAACCATAATATTAAATAATCACAATAAGCGCCTTGCTTAGCAAGAAAATATGGAATTGCGAGTTTAGGTGCGGCTTCCTTTTTTTCTGTAGGACACGAGAATAATTCTACCTAAAAAATTGCTATTGTCTATAAAAATAATACAATTGACAATATATATATGACATAATAAAATTGATCAAAAACACACACAGGATCAACTTTATCCCAGTTATTATATTTGCCAATAAAATCTAAGGTCATAACGTGCCCACAAACCGATGTCATTTTGAACATTACTGTTTCTGTTCGGAACTCCCCTATCCATTCGTGTACCGAACATGATTTATTGGGAGCTAAAAAAAATACAATTGTTTAAATATACAATATAAACAAATAGATAAATAGAAATTATCTAAGATAAATTATAATGTGTAAATATTTAATTACCTTTTTTTGACGTACATCGACCATTACTAAGAATAAAAGCAAGAGAAGCTGCCAAAGATGGCTTCTCTGCAACCATTAATGCACACTTCATATTTATTAAACTTTAAATAATAACCACTTTGCACATAGCTTGTTAAAGCCTTTTACAAATCTTTCAAACCTTCAATATCTTAATATTAATTTACTAAAAAATAATTAATTAATTATTCGATATTCTAACTATCATTTCTTTAGATTTCAACGTGAAAAATTCTAATAATTGAATTAATTTTTTTCTAATATCACCACTTTCAATCTTTCATTAATTTATCATAATAATGAAGAATAATTCAGATTCGTTAATTCTCACATTAAAAAAGTTTGAACCTTTATGTCACAGACTAAAATAATTTATATTCTCCACGTTATTAGTAATAATAATCATGATGCATATAACAATAGCGTTAACTACTGTGTTTACTCTGAATCCACCATTATAGATGTCGCAAATATCTGTTCGATTAAAGCGTGGTATATTTAAATCGCTTATAAGATATGCAAATATTAATGACTCTACATATATACGTAAAAGAATACTGCAATGTATACAATTCATAGCCATATGATAAAGAAGAGAACTTATCAGCATTTTTGTAAACTAAATCTTTCATTATTTTAACCTTAAGTGAAACTTTTGAACTACGTAGTGTTTGAATCATTATAAGTTTTGATCATGTGTGCCCATTATACATATATATTTCTGATTTACTATATTTACAAATATGATGTTTTATTCCAGAATGATAATTAATTGAATGCACTGTTTAATGAATCTCTATTGTTGTAAAAAATGAAGAACAGAGTGCCACATAAGTTATAATATTTTTTTATTTATCTATGAAATAACATAATTTGATTTATTTTTTACGCATTCATTTACGAATGAAATAAGAATCGAAAAAACTAGAAAATAAACCGACATTAATATTTTTCCTATCAATAAAAGATGTGGCAACGCTCGAGAAATGTTTATAACAAACTAATGACAAAACAAAGAAAGGTTATCTTATTCAACCAAAAGCAAGTAAAATATACTTCTAAATCTACTTACTCAACAATTACAAATTCAGATGATTCTCCTCCGAAAGAAGCACAAGTGGTTATTTGTGGTGGTGGTGTTATGGGAGGCGCAGTTGCTTATCATTTGTCACTTATGGGATTGGGATCTGAAACCATTCTTGTAGAAAGCGGCAGGTATTGCATTACTCTTGCAATTAAATATTATAAATATTATTTTATGGCGGTACCCCTTGTTTTTCAACTAAATGATTATACTTTCATTGAATTATTCTAATTCTCTTTATATCTTAAAGATTAGGAGGTGGTACAACATGGCATGCATCTGGTCTAGTTGGTGCTTTCAAACCAAGTTTAGCGCAGGTGAAATTGGCTCAAGATAGTATAGCGTTATATAAACATTTAGAAGGGAAAGGTCTTTCTACCGGTTGGAAACAATGTGGTAGTCTTTCTTTGGCGCGTACGAGAGACCGTATGACTGCATTTAGACGAATGAAGGCTCAATCTGTGTAAGAATTTAAAACAGACATAATACAATTATTTTTATGTACAATGCTCTAACTTATTTTACAGGTCACGAGATATCGAATGTTATTTGATTTCACCAGAAGAAGTCAAGCAATTGTGTCCATTATTACGCATAGATGATCTCATTGGTGGATTATGGATTCCTGGTGACGGAGTAGGTGATCCATATCAAATATGTTTATCATTGATTAAAGAAGCTAAAAGTAAAGGTAATCATTTTTTTTTCATAATTATAATGAACATATTATAAAATCTGTTTATTATACATGTCATTGTTTATTAGGTCTTAGAGTTTATGAAAATTGCAAAGTTACTAAGATCATTAATCAAGATAATCGTATTGAATCAGTTGAAACCACACATGGAACAATAAAATGTTCACATTTTGTTAATTGTGCTGGATTTTGGGCACGCAATGTAGGAAAACTTAGTGAACCATATGTAAAGGTTGTATTACATTTCTTTTTTTTTTATTATATTATTTAATAAGGATTGTGAGTTATATTTTTAAATCTAATTATTATAAGGTTCCACTTCATCCGGTGGAGCATTATTATCTGCATACAAAACCTGTTAATGGTTTAGATCCTATGACACCAGTAATACGTGACTTAGATGGTTACATCTACTTCAGGGAAAACAATGGTCGTATATTAGCAGGTGGATTTGAACCAGTTGCAAAACCAGCATTCGAAGATGGGTCGATACCTGGTTAGATATAGATGTAAATCTGTCTTGTAGATTATCATTTATTGTTTGTAAATAAGTGTTTTTAATAGATATCATTTTGATTTGCTTTTAGAGAATACTAACGAGAGATTTCTGCCTGAAGATTGGGATCATTTTCATATTTTATTAGAACAAATGCTTCACAGAATCCCAAGTTTAGGAAATGTAATATTGGAAAAATTATGTAATGGTCCTGAAGCATTTTCTCCGGATTGTAAATGGATTGTCGGAGAAGCTCCAGAAATACGTAATTATTATGTAGCTGCTGGCATGAAGACTGTAAGTAAATACTTAGACATTTATTATTCACTCTGAAATGATTGTAAATATAATTTTTCATTAGGTTGGTATATCAGCTGCTGGTGGAGTTGGTCGTGCTACTGCTGAATTAATAGTCAATGGATCAACTTCGTTAGACATGTATGAATTAGACGTTTCACGTTTTCTTGGTTTACACAATAATCGTAAATTTTTACGTGATCGAGTAAGGGAAGTACCTGGAATGCATTATGCGTTGCAATATCCTCATCACGAATTTAAAACTGGAAGAAATTTAAGAATGTCACCAATTTATCCTAAGCTCAAAGAAGCTGGTGCTGTTTTCGGTCAAGTGATGGGATACGAACGACCATCCTGGTTTCAACCTCTCAATGAAAATGGTAACATTATTATATTTAAATATAAGTGTATATTAATTAAAATAAAATATTATATATATACTAACTATAATATTTGATTATAGATTTAGATTCGACCGATATATTCCAGAAATGTAAACTGGCATATACGAATACATTTAGCAAACCACCATGGTTCGAACGTGTCAGTTTGGAGTATGCAACTTGTCGAGAATCAATCGGGCTCAGCGACTATTCATCTTTTACTAAAATCGACTTATGGGTACTTATTATCTTAAGATTACTTATATTAAAGACAATTATTCTCTAAGATATGTAATACATTGTTACACAATATTTAACTTACTCGTATTTATTTCTTAAAAATGTTCTTAGTCTAATGGCATGGAGGTAGTAGATTTATTGCAATATTTATGTTCAAACGACGTTGATGTAGCTGTGGGCAGTATCATCCACACTGGAATGCAAAATTATCGTGGTGGTTATGAAAATGATTGCAGCTTAGCACGTATTGCACCAAATCAGTAAGTATATTTTATACAATTTATATTACTCAAAATTAATGCAATACTGCTTATTATTATTATATTTCAGCTATATGATGATTGCACCGACTATCCAACAAACACGATGTAAGTACTGGATTAGTAGGCATTTACCATCAGACGGCTCTGTTGCTGTATCTGATGTAACATCGGCGTACACTGCTATTTGTATCATGGGACCTGCTACAAGACAATTGTTGAGTGAATTGACTGACACTGATCTGAATCCTAAGAATTTCCCATTTTTTACATTCAAAGTATAATATTTTTAATAAATCTATTATTTCTTTATCATTCTTTTTACTAAGAACTTTCTATATTTTATAGGAGTTAGACGTCGGCCTTGCTAATGGAATTCGTACAATGAACTTAACACATACTGGAGAATTAGGCTACGTTTTGTATATACCAAACGAAGTAAATGAGAAATTTTTGTTGATTCGAATACATCAATTGAACTTATTATACTAAACTTAGAATTAGTCATATAAATTGCTGTATATTTATTTTTAGTTTGCCCTACACGTTTACACGAGATTAATAGAAGCCGGTGAAAAATATGGAATAAAACATGCCGGTTATTATGCGACACGAGCGTTAAGAGTTGAAAAATTTTACGCGTTTTGGGGTCAAGATTTAGATACTTTTACTACTCCTCTTGAATGTGGTCGTGCATGGAGAGTGAAATTTGATGTAAGTAATAGCAGTACGAGATATCTTTGACTATTCTCCACATTTACATATATTCTAATTTAACAATTTTTTTTTATGTTATTTTCGATAGAAAGGAGTTAATTTCATAGGGAGAGATGCACTTTTGAAACAACGCGAAGAAGGAGTTAAACGTAAATACGTTCAATTATTGTTGAATGATCATGATCTTGAATTTGATACATGGTGTTGGGGTGGCGAACCGATATATCGAAATGGAAAATATTGTGGTATGACAACTACTACGGGTTACGGTTTTACATTTAGAAAACAGGTAACAATTTATCCTCCCAATTATTAGCTTAAAAATTTTTTTTATCCAATTCAATCATTTATCGAATAAATGTAAACGTAATGAAATTTGATATTAGTACATTAGGTGCGAATAGTGAATATTATTTAAACTTTATCATTTCATTTCTATCTAAAACATAATTTGTACTATAGGTTTGTCTTGGATTTGTACAAAACTTTGATTCAAAAGGTCAGCCACAAGAAGTAACAAACGAATACATATTGTCAGGAGATTACGAAGTGGATGTTGCAGGAATAAAGTTTCACGCAAAATGCCACTTGCACAGTCCAAATTTACCGACTAAGTTTCCTGATAAGGAAAGAGACGCGTATCACGCGACGCGTGATCATCAAACTTTGTAATTTCTTGTAAGCGTAAGCCTTCGATTTTCTGTACAAACAATGTATGTAGAAAGTTTAATAAATTATTTAATAAGTCTCATATTCACATAAATCGCTACATCAAAAAACTTCTTTTTATAAATCGTATTATATGCATGTATGTATGTATATATATAAAGAAGAGGAACACGCGCAACATTAAATACATTTGTGTTTCTCCATTAGTTAATTAGTTAGTTTTTTTTGTATGCATTTCATAACTACAATTCTTACAAAACTACACCAAAAGTAAATAATAATAATTTTTTAGTTAACTACATCTTATTTCACAGAGTTCCAAATGCATTGTAAAACATCTGGCTGATAATTATAATAATGATAATAATAATAATAATAATTACTCAATAAACATATTCGCGACTGATTATAATCCTTAAATGTCGAATTAATATATATATATA